TAATTAAACACAATAAGTCACATTGTTGCTTTTTAAATAAATATTATTTTATTTCAAATACAAGCCACCAGGAGATAACAAACAGTCTCTCATAATGGACTTCGGACGTCAAACGGAACACATAATATAGAAATTTTACCTTCCAATAAAATTTGTATTATGTTTCCTAAGACGTCCGAAGTCCAGATAATGTCTTCCTGGGGCTACATCCATCATTATGAGCCGAACAATGACAAATATGGCGGCTTGTCTTTGCTTGTTGGTTCGGTTCCAGACGTTATAGAGGGCGCTGTAGATGGGACTTAGGAAACGGAAGTAGTCAAATTTAGCGACCTGCAGTGGAAATCATACGATGTACTCTCATAATGGACTTCGGACGTCTTAGGAAACATAATACAAATTTTATTGGAAGGTAAAATTTCTATATTTTTAATCTTAAATTAAAAAAATATCAAACTGTTGTTTGATAAATTAAAAATGGAATATCTTCCTAATGGACATGCGACGCGTAGAGAGGAAATGCATGTGACTAAGAGATGTATGGAAATGGTAGTGCAATTTAGAGGGGGAAGAGGTCGACCGAAGAAGACATGGATGGAGTGTGTGAATGACGATATGAGAGAGAGAGAAGTGAGAGCTGAGATGACGGCTTATAGAAGAGAATTTAATAAAAAAATTCGATGCTCCTCACAATTATAATTAGACAATGCAATCTCTGCAATTATAATTAGACAATAATAATTTAATATTAAAACAATTATAAAATAAGACCACGCTATATTTATAAAAATTAACAAAAGCAAAATATTAACTGTCCTCTTCACACTCATAAGCTAGACCGCGCGAGAGAGAGATGGGCAGACTTTTCATGTTGCGCATGCAGTGCGACGTCACGCCGCGCGCTTATTCACAAACACTACACAAGCGCAACGTGTGGATGTGTTGAACGCGAGCTACATGGTAGGCGGAGTGTTAGGTTTTATTTTCGTTACGGAATTTCTTGATTATGTCGCCGCGCTCAAAGCCCGCGATAAAAGCTATGCAAAAAACAGGTAAGGCGGATTTAAATCAGCACCACAAATAAAACACGAGTTTTTTTTCTCATTTCTTTAATGACTACCAACGCACTCTCGGCCTATACTCGTCGCTAATAGCCATCCGCTTGATGCTCTCGTATCCGAGGATGATGCTGAATGAGAAACACGCCGACTGCACCAGCCTCGCGGACAGGCCCTTTGCGTACAGCCCGAACAGACCTTCCTCCGCCCAGAGCTGCTTGAACACCTGCTTCATCGTGCCGACGCCTTCCACCTGGAAATGTTTGAGGTCATGGAAGGTCTGATGGCGGTCATGCCGTGTTTTTTTTTTGTTTTTTTTGTTATTGCTTAGTTGCATGGACGAACTCACAGCCCACCTGGTGTTAAGTGGTTACCGGAGCCCATAGACATTTACAACGCAAATACGCCACCCACCTTAAAAATATAAGTTCTAAGGTCTCAGTACAGTTACTGCCTCTACTGTACAGTATAGGTCTGGTGGCGGCAATGTCGTATGTGGAACAAGTCCCTTTCAAACCGGAAGACGTGAGTGCATCGCAATAGAAACGATAGCGGCTTGTAAATGTTCTCTTTTATGCCGACTAACATGTTAATGACGTCATCGATCCTTGACGCACGGGCGCGACTCGTCAACTCAATTGGACGTCTCGAAATCGACGTAAATTACGTTCAAACATTCCGTCACATAGATATATAGATACGGGTCTCTAATTAGAGATTGTCTGTGCTTCACAAGTCACATAGACGCCGTCAAAAGACTTGTCTCACTAAAGTTCATCAACCCGCGTTCTAACCGGAGGGTAGTTGCAACGTCACACAAGGTCGTTGACTTCGTCACCAAATTAAACATTGTGTGCTTAGTGCGAGTTTTTTTTTTGATTTCTCGATAGCGTAAGACTTAACTCAAGTATGGAGTCGGAACAGCGCCCCTAGCGGCAAACGAAGGCAAACTTTTCAACTGCGTACAAATTTGAGTTAACTTTTACGCTATCGAGAACGTTAAAAAACTCGCACTAAGCACACTTTTCATCGCCAACAGGCGAAAACAAAAAGTACCATTTTCTGATCTATTGGTTTTATTTATATTATTTTCTTATTTAGTAATTATCAGGACTAATGTTAACCCTTCGACTGCCGTGTAGGTCACCGGTGCACTACCCGGCGCACTACCCGGCGCACTCAAGTAATTATGTCGATTTCTGTTACTAATGCGCCTGGATTGCCTAACATTGCCCCTTCTCTTGTTTGTTAATGTAAGTTTTAATATTTTAAGTCTCTTGAAAATAGACTCATTCTCAGTATTGTTCGGATTTGTCTCTCCCAGAGTCTACCAGATATTCCGGCACTTTAGTAAGAAGATTGTCATCAGGTTTGAGTCCCGTGAGCTCACCTACTGATTCGGCGAATCTAGAATCTTAATCTTAATAAAAAAATAGGCCTACCTGTAATCTCGCCCTCACAATGTCCAGGGGATTGGTCAGTATCGTTGTGGTGAAGCCTCCAAGAGTGCCAGCCACGCATTGTATCAGCAGATGCGACACCCATACGGGAGATATCTTCAAAAGTTCATCTGAAAAAGAATTCATATGCGAGGGGTGAAAGGATTGTTTGGTTAAGCGACATTTTTGCAACTTTACTGGAGAGCTAGCAATAATAGCTAGCAAGCAAGCTAACAAGAAAATAGCTTCAGCTATTCGAATGGGGTGTAAACTTAATTGAAGTTCAATAAAAAGCATCGGCGTGTTAACGCTGATACCAAATAAAATTAATTACAAACCTTTAATTACAAAGATAAATGTCGCGTGTTAAACAAAACAAAATAGCCATAAATCAAGTACCCTGTTTTACCAAACAACCCGACAAAAGTATTGTGACATCCCCGATTTGGCCCTATTCCCCCCAATCTACAGTACTGCGAGACCACTAGTATAGGAGTGGGCCCGCAACTTGCTCACCCTGGTACGCCGTGTACAGAGCCCACCACAGCGCCGAGTTGGGCACGTAGGCCGCCAGCGACGCCGTGTACCCCCGGTAGTAGCCCAGCGGCCCGTGCTGCCGGTACACCCTCACCGCCACCTCCCGGGCTAAGGCCGCTTTCGATCTGCGCTTATCTAAATCTATGCCCAGGGGATTTATCGTCTGAAACAAATATATATGGTTAGTTTATGGTAGGCAGCGGTTTGGCTCTGCCCCTGGCATTGCTGACGTCCATGAGCGACGGTGACCACTTACCATCAGGTGGGCCATATGCTCGTTCGTCTGCCTACAAAGGCAATAAAAAAATATACATATGTATACACAGTGTGAGTGTAAGGAGACCGCTTCCGAAAACGAAGACAGACGATAGGACTAATAGGACTAATGATACCTCTGATGATGGGGCGGGAAAAATCTATCCTGATTTAAAAAAAAAACACATTTTTAAAACGTTTTTTTAGCATTATGTACGCTCCATCATGTTAGTACAGCTAAATGAAACGATGGTTTCATAAAAAAATATATTACTTTACTAAAAAAAAACCAGCAATGAAACACAAAATCAAAAACAGCTGATGCTCGGGTCAACGAACGCCCGGGCGCGGCGCAGACTTGCGCGATGTCAAAAATACTTATTTACAACATTTACCTAAATAGCTCCATCATCAAAGTATTATCGTCTGTCTTCGTTTTCGGAAGCGGTCTCCTAACACTCAGTATATCGGCACAACATTACTATTCAGTTACCTATGATTAGTTAAAGTTAACTGTTTCCTCAATATTAATATTGTTGGATAACTATTATAAGTCCAACGCATGTCAACAGTTGTTTAAAGACCATATTCAGGAAAATTAATGAACAAACTGCTTATACTGTAAATGTACTGTAAATACGAGTGACTACTGTCACACGAAGCATTCCGGCTCGAGCAGTCGAACGGAGCGGAGCTCTCTTGTTATCGTCGTACACTTGATATGTAATAAATGCAATTCATTGGAAAATTGAGTTTTAATTATTGTTACTATGAATGTCAATGACAATAACGAATACAGAGTCGTCATTAGTCGCTGACGTCATCAGCAATGGTGACGTCATCGTTTTAAAAACACCACGGAACCAGTCACTCCATCACATACATTTAAAAAATAAGCCAACTTCTGTCGAGCAACTGTCATATACTTGTAATTCTTTTGTCCGTAGATCTTGTAGGTTGCATGATGCTAAGTTATCTAATGCTGACATCTTTTGCTTGTAACTTGTAGCATATAAAAAAGTTATTTTAAAATATTTATAAGGTGATTTAGTCCGATGAGTATTATAGTTTTATAGTGTAAGTTGATGTACAAAATAAAAATGTGCGTATTGTGCTTTGCTTTAGTTTTTTGTAATTTAAATTTCTAAATTTCTCTTCTCTGTTCACTTTCTACTTATATGTGATTTTGATTGTGGAAACATATCTGGTTATTGTTTTAGCTATATTCTTTAAATTATTATATGTTTGTATTGTACTGTTTGTTTCCCAAATAAATAAATAAATACTGCACAATCCGTGTCATGTCCTTAACCCTGAGGCTCGTTGAGCGTATACTCACGGTGCTCACGCCGCCGGTCCTACCCTTCACCAGGCCTAGCACCATCAGGTGCTGGCTCAGCACGTCAAACGGCACTATTATCGTCTGCCCGACGATGGAAGCGCATCCGCCGCCGATGAACGACTGAAAAGCGTGCGGAATCCGAAGTGATGTGACGTCTCAAGCCAAATAGACTCTCACTGGTCGATATATACATATCAAGCGTCGATATAATGTATATATTGACACTTGAAAGGCAAACGTGACTAAGCGACATTGCGTGAACTTTATAGTAGAATAATTTAAATTTGAAATACCTGAAAAAAATTCTATTTTAACGAATCTAGCTGTAGGCTTGAAATGATTTTAATAGACCTAAAAATATATTTTTTTGCGCATCGAATATGGTTATTGCCTATCATTTATGTACAAAGCAGTTATTGTCGCTTAGTCACGTTTGCCTTTCATGCGTCGATATATTATATATACTAGCTTTTGTCCGCGACTTCGTCCGCGTGGAATAGTTCACAAATAAAACTGTATTTTAGAACAAATTTGGTTAGCATAAAAAACGTTGTCGTGAGCCAACCTTAACATATAGACATATGCTGTCGCGGACTTTTTTTTAGATATTTTACAGAGGAACAATTCTGTCATACATTATTTTAGTGAAACTTTAACTGTTTCTGCAGCGCACGCAGCGGAAGCTCTCAAAAGGGAAAAAAATCCGATTTTGAAATATTCTCTATTGGTGCTCCGCTTGTTTTGGTCGTAGCGTGATGTTATATAGCCTATAACCTTCCTCAATAAATGTGCTATCTAACACTGAAAGAATTTTTCAAATCGGACCAGTAGTTCCTGAGATTAGCGCGTTCAAACAAACTCTTCAGCTTTATAATATTAGTATAGATATATTTTTTAAATTTATGCCCTGGTTACGAGACCTTTGAGCCAAAAGTGTTCTAGTAATGCATTCTGTCATATAAAGGGGTCGTATACGCTGGTCCTATCAAATTAAGATGATATTAGACTCCACTTTAATGGTAAGCTACAAAAAAAGATATACAAAATTTATAATTACCTACCTTCCATTTTGGGCTAATGTCATATTTTCCTAATTCAAATCTCACTCCTTCGTACGTAGATATATAGAAGACGCCAGAAATTATCTGAAACTGTTGGAGAAAACTGTTTAGAGAATATACGAAACGAATATGCGGGTAGTTTTTTACGAACGATCAAAATTCGACCGTACGCATCAAGACATAGAGATTCGATTTTTGAATTCTTCTCTTTTGTTAATTGATATTTGCAGTTAACATTTTCATTATTATTATTTTTCTAACTCTTATCCCACCATGGAGGGTCGGCGTACCCTCTTTATCCATTAAGACATTTTTTTTCATGGCATATCCTCCCTCACACTCAACATCCAAGTCTTTTCAAAAAGTATTTTCCTTTTCCCTACTTTCATACTTTCTTAACAAGACTAAAGCTTCTTAGAAACGAAAAAAAAAAACCATCGATAAAATCAAATAGACGCGAAGCTGGTAGTCGCTAGTCACAAAGGTGCACCAGCAGCCATAGTCCAAACTAGATCATCATCATTCTCCTGCCCTTCTCCCAGTCACCTGAGGTCGGCGCAACATGTTTTCTTCTTCCATACTACTCTATCTTATACCATTTCTTCGCTCACTCCCTTCTTAAACATATTGTCTTTAATACAATCCATCCATTTTATCTTCAGTCTACCTCTTCCACTTTTATAGTTATAACTCTCTTACCAAGTTGACTGTCATTTCGTCTCATCACATGTCCATACCATCTCAACTTCTCTGTCACAGGTGCCACTTTCAGACTTCCTCTAACATTACACACAGTCCAAACTAGATCACAAATATTTATAACTGTTACTTACACTAGACAGCCAGAAACCTCTGTAGAGGCCAGACACACCTTCGCTGGCGTATATCTTTGTGAAAGCATCTGTGACGCCTTTATAAGCCTCTCTCCTCCTTTGCACTTGTATCTGTGTCTTTATCAATGTAAGCGGATATAGGGCGCAACGAACTGGAATTGACAATTTGATTTCATTAATGATAAATCCTTAATAATTTTTTTATTGCTTAGATAGGTGGACTAGCTCACAGCCCACCTGGTGTTAAGTAATTACTGGAGCCCATAAACATCTACGACGTAAATTCGCCACCCACCTTGAGATATAAGTTCTAAGGTCTTAGTATCGTTACAACGGCTGCCTCACCCTTCAAACCGAAACGCCTTACTGCTTCATGGCAGAAGTAGGCAGTCAGCAGGGTGGTGGTACCTACCCGGACTCACAAGAGGTCCTGCCACCCGTAATTACGCAAAATTATAATTTGTACGGGTTTCATTTTTATAACACGTTATGTTATTTCTTCACCGTGGAAGTCAATCGTGAACATTTGTTGAGTACATATTTCATTATAAAAATTGGTACCCAACTGGGATTCGAACACCGGTGCATCGCTCAACACGAATGCACCGGACGTCTTATCCTTTAGGCCGCGACGACTTCAAAATCTACGACGTAAATGCGCCACCCACCTTGAGATATAAGTTCTAAGGTCTCGAGTATAGTTATTAAATTAATTTTAGTCGCCTCCCTGACTACATAAAAGTGGTAAGTTTTAACCTAAGTTTACTTAGAAACTTATTTATATATTACCTGTAAAACTGCTCATGGTATATAATGGGAAAAATTTGCTTTTATCCATCATGCTCCACTCTATAGTGGTAATCAATTGAGGAGGTGGAGTTTCAACCATGGTGGCGGCCATCTTGGATTTTCCTTTTGTCTTTTCTACTTTTTCCTCTTCCCATAAGCTTAGCAACATTAACTTATCTTGTCGATTAATTTTAATAATACAAACGTCTTTGGTAACTATTTTTTAAATAAATTTTTATTTTGTCAAATAAATAAACTTTTTAATTTGTATCTAATACAAATAAAATATTAAAATTTAAATTGGAATTATTGATTTAACAGTTTTTATATGGATACTAGAACTTCAAAACTAACGGTTTTTATTTGTTTTTCTTAAAAAATTTAGAGTCGATCTCGACTATGTTATCATGAAGTGAACAATAATGTTGTGGTTGTGTTCGATTGGTACTTCCATTGTGTTTTTTTTTTCAATCAAATAGATCTGGCAAAGAGTACCTGAAAAACAAAACAATACACTGTCCCAACTCTGCTCTTGTCCTCTACAAAACAGAAACTTAAAACTATGACCTAAAGGTCTTAGTTACCAGGTCATTAAATCCCTTAAAGAGAAACTTAAAACTCATGTCTCAGGGTTGGCAGCATGTACGTTTTTGATGACTATGAGCTCGAGTAACCATTTAACATACAGTGGATCGTGAACTCCTCCACCTGTCTGGGCCACAAAAAAACAGATGACGATACAGGTTTCTTGATAGCCAGACTTCATCCTCGGTGTCTTATTGCGGTAATATATAGTTCATAGTGTAATGCTTCTTTGATCATATTACCAAGTTCGACAACTTTAGGTCTATTAATGAGTATTTCTACTGCCGGCACATAGTATCAGGAATGCCAAAAGGTCGATATTGCAATAGTGTCTATTTCGGCCCCAAAGTAAATATATGCTGATACCAACTTCCCAGTATTTAATATTCATAATAAAAATAATTTATAACGTAAAACTTTTATTTGATTTATAGGAAATTTTAGTTTTAAATATTACATATAATGGAGAAATTGATAACAAAACACTTGTTGTCAATAACTATGTACTTCTCTGTTTCATTGTAGGAATTATTCGTGAGCATTTAAGAATTGTTAAGATTGTCTATATGATAATTTAATCTATTTGAATCAGACTATTTAGATAAAAATATTTTTTGTGGTTAGATTTCTTTTATATTGATAATCTATGTGTACTCTATTTAAATGATTCCGAGGCAGTTTACAATCTAATCCTATTGTCTTTTATTACATAATTTAATAAATAAGTGAAAGAATTTTGAACAAAAAAAGATTTAAGAGGTTGGTATTATGTAGCTACAAGTTTGCTGCAAATGTCGGAATGCAAAAATAATATTATAGTATCATTTTTCTTTATAAATTAAGATTAGATAGTTAAATTAGTTATTTAAAAAGAACTAAATTTGTGGATATGTCGTATTCCAACAAAAATCCAGATAATCGACAGTTAACTATGTATTATGCTTCTCATTTAGCATTGGTCAATTGTCTTAAAAGAGAAACTGAATAAAATAAGATATACTATAGATTTTTGAAGGTTTTGAAGAAATTTATTTTAACACAATAGAAACCTTTGCAAAACACTTCTACAAAAAAAAGGTTTACTCACTCGATAAATAATAAAATGTTCATGATGTTATCACAGAAACCTTCACTGATTACACTATGAACGTTATTGAAGCTTTTATGTAATAATTTACTTATGTTTTAGTTTATTACACTATGGAAAAATAGTTCGAATGGTCCTTCACAGCTGTCAGGTGATTGGACGTCCATATTGATTTTAAATTAAATTAGTAAATTTTTTCGGTTGCAAAGACGTTAAGACGCTATGTTCCGTTTTGTACAAAGTCTTCATGCCCAAACAGACAAATGCAATTATATATTTTTTGCTATATTGTTGATAATACAGCGTTCATTTGGGAAAAAAATATTCAATTAAAACGTTTTTTTCATTTCTTAATTTGATACCTAATAAAGTAGGTTTTTGAAACACGACAAAAAAAAATTTAAGGGAAAAGACAAGTTTCACTAAGTTAATGCAATAACGTGTCAATTAATTTTGTAAAACAATTATTAGTATACCCAAAGCAATGCGAACTATAAAACGAATCATATACTTAATAAGTAGTAACCGTGATTTGCATTAAAGGTCAACAAACTTCACGTTTTGAAATACAAATAAAAACGTTTTAATAAATAAAACATCTATTTTTTTTCAATTTAATCTATAAAGTTAATTGAAATTGTCTTAGTCAATTTAATTTGAGCATTCAATATCTGTCGACGTGCTTATATAAAGAAAAGAAACAAACCATTGAACAAGGCTTCTTGAATCTTGAGATCATAAAAGTTTCTGTCGATTTCTACAATAATAATTGTGCTGAAAGATTATATCGGTTAATCTTATTTATGTGATTCCTTCTCATTTTTTTTTATTCTTATGTCAAAATAAAAATTATTTCATTGCTAGATTGTACTTTTTGTAGGTATGAGTTCTTTTAAATAATACAATAGAATCTCAAATACATGGGCTGTATTTCCTTTGCCTAATTAGTTAGCAAATAAAAATATTGCACTTTATTTTGATAACAATACAATCGTCTTTCTATAAATCTTTTCGTTTCCAATCAAAATACTTTAGCACCACTTATCAAAATGGTATGTAATAAAAACTAAATTAAAGTCCATAGGTTCATTATTAATTAACATTTTAAAACATAACAGATTTTGTTACAGGCGCGTTATTTCAAGGAACAAGATATAGATGGTAAATTATTTTCATTAGCCACGCCGTTCACTTTAATTTTCGGAATAATTAAAAGATAATAGGTATTGATGCGCTTTAGAAATGATTTATATGAAGTTAAGTAATGTCGTTATCCAGTTTTTATACATCGTACAGCATGAAGTTTTTAACAAAAACTAAAAATTTATATGTAGGACAAATAACGGAACTTTGCATATTGGATTTGATTAAATGTTGAACACGAAATAATAGCGTCAAATCGTCAAAAGAAATAGATAATGAATCTCATTGATAAAAGATGATAAGAAAATGTTTGATAAGATTAATCTGGAAAACGAATTGACGGAATGACATTGTTTGGGTTGGCAAATGATATTTACCGGAGTCCAAACGAATTACAATGCGATTGCCAAAACTCACCCAGAACCTGAGGTTGATATTTCACTTATATCAGCTTTAAGACAGATATAGTTAGGATGGTAGTGCCCACATGTGCGCTTTCACAACACACCTTACCATATGTGGAGAATGTTGCTTGTTCTCCTCTGGCACTTGTAGTCTTTTATTGCACATCCAATCTATATCATCATCATCATAATCATCATGCTTTCCTATTACCCTCTGCTGGGGTGTAGGGCTCGAATCAAATTTTTCCATTTGTATCGGTCTTGGGCAGTCTGTTCTAGCTCCTCCCACGTCATGCCCAAGACCCCTAGCTCCTGCTCCACCGAGCGACGCCAAGTTGTTCTGGGGCGGCCTCTCTTCCTTTTACCAGACACTTTCCAGGTCAGTGCTCTCTTTGATAAGTGTGTATCGGGCTTTCTCAGAGTGTGACCAATCCAATGCCACTTCCGCGTAAGGATCTCCTTCTCCATTGGTGTCTGCTTAGTGATCCTCCACAGCTCTTTGTTAGTGATCTTCTCAGGCCAAAAGATTTTCAAAATCTGACGCAGGCACTTATTCACAAACACTTGAAGTTTTTTGATCAAGTCCTTGCGAACAAACCAAGTTTCGCTCCCGTACAGCAATACAGACTTTACATTTGAGTTGAAGATCCTCACCTTTGTTCGTCTTGTTAAGGTTGAGGAACTCCACACTGGCCTAAGTTGACTAAACGCGGCTCTGGCTTTATTTATACGAGCCGCAATGTCTGCCTCGGTGCCTCCCCTATCGTCCACAATGCTGCCCAGGTAACAGAAGCTTCCCACCTGCTCGATGTGCCTCCCTTTGATCGACATAGGAGCCGAATCGGTGGTATTTATGCGCATTTCTTTTGTTTTTGAGAAATTAATACGCAGCGCTGCTTTTTCAGCTTCATCTACTAGATCTATATATATAATCTATATCATAGAAAGAGAAAATTCAGTCAATGTCATAAAATTCTGGTTACGTGGCGGATGAGATCTAAAAGCCCCCTTTGAGCTTCTCTAGGTATTCCCTCAGTGTCCAAAGTTGTGAAGACCTGTGTAAGTCATGACTCCTGACCGCAATCAACCTCAGCAGTTCCTATACAGAGTACTATCAGTAATATATACAGAAAAAAAGTTTGATTAGGAATAACATGAAGGTAATTTCAGAATTCCGTGAATGTTTCTACTTGTTTGCTCGGTCTGGACAAATCACCTCCCTGGACGAGTTGACCGTCATCATGAGGTCATTAGGCATGAGTCCCACGATCCAGGAGTTGGCTGGTAAGTTTTCTATTACTGGTAAATTATTGTGTATATGTGGACGATTACAATATTGTAGTAAATTGATGATCATAGTATGAACTCCATGAAGTATCAAATTTATTTATTTAGCAATCTCTCTATGTTCAGAACAATTTCTGTATACATAATTTAGTAGGTACATATCTAAAGGATATTTAAATTAATTAAATTATTAGGTAATAACGAGACAGTCAGATTATAATTTATTCCATCTCTGAATTAGGCTTATAATAATGGTGGCCGGAACGAACACAAACATAGAATCAAACTATACATTTATTAATGAATAACAGGTTATTTGAAAGGCAAAGGGGGGAAGATGTCGTTCGCGGATTTCCTTGAAGTGATGCACATACATTCTCGTGCCGAAAATCTTCCGTCAGAGGTAATCCGTCAAGTCTTATATATTTCACACAGATATTATAAATACAGTAATCACCCCATATAACACGGTAGATTTCTTCTGTGTTACAGGAAACACGTTGTTGGAATATTCCAGCATAATGCGCTTGTATGACCCATATAACGCGTTATGTAGAAATCTAATATATATACAAATATAATAAAAAAAAAAAGAATGTTTTTACAATTAAAACACAATTAATAAATTTATTTTATTTTATAAGAACACAATTGACACAATGTGTAAAATTACGCGAAATTAATTAATTTTGAATGAACTGTACAAAAGTTCAGAAGTATGGGGAGTGCTCTGTGGAATTGCTTGAGATGATCCCATCATATCGTTTTTACCATAGCACCGCCCGCCACGCAGTGCATTTCCAGACATCTTATTTGCCACGTGCCATCCGGATTTGGAATGAGCTCGCCTCCACGGTGTCTCCCGAGCGCTATGACATGTCCTTCTTCAAACGAGGCTTGTGGAGAGTACTTAACTTTAGGCATCGGCTTGGCTCTGTCCCTGGCCATACGGTCGTCTGCCTAATAGGGCAATAAAGAAAAAAAAATGACTTTCGTGATTTTTTTTATAGGTAGTAAACGCGTTTAAGGCCGGAGATCCGAACAAGACCGGAGTGATATCGGCTAAGCAACTGCGGACGCTTCTGCAGAAATGGGGAGAAGGGCTCTCAGCCAGAGAAGTAAGATAACACTATTACCATCAGTTTTCACGTGTTCTAAGATGTGATTAAAAATGCTTATACTTTTTTATGTTTATTTTTTGTATTGCTTAGATGAGTGGACGAGCTCACAGCCCACCCGGTCTTAAGTGGTTACTGGAGCCCATAGACATCTACAACGTAAATGCGCCACCCATCCCATTCTCTCTCTCTCTCTCTTTCTAAGTGATTATGCCAGCCTTGTAAGATAACACGGAAGTTTTATACAAAACAAAGGAAATCGCTTTGTTAGATACTGGTTCAGCTAACCAGCAGTTCAGCCGACCTTTGTTTGAATTTGCAGGTAGACAACATTTTCCGCGAAGCGAATGTTTCCAACAGTGCTACGGTGCGCTACGAAGACTTCGTTAAAATCGCCTGCGCTCCAGTACCCGACTATTATTAAATTTTTTATATAATTATATAACTAGCTGACCCGGCAGACTTCGTAGTGCCTCAATCGATAAATAAAAGACTTAAACTTTTGTATAAAATAAACTTAAAACAAACAAAAGGAATCCGTCCGATGGGGGACATTTTCATATTTTCTCTACCTTTTAAACCTTCCGTGGACTTCCACAAATAATTCAAGACCAAAATTAGCAAAATCGGTCCAGCCGTTGTCGAGTTTTAGCAAGACTAACGAACAGCAATTCATTTTTATATAGATTATGACGATTATATATATGTATATCGACGGGTGAAAGGATATTTGGTTTGAGCGAAACTTTTGCAATTTAACAGGAGAGCCATTTAAAAGAAAAAAATATTATGACAAAAAAAAGAACTACTTCGGCTATGTATTTGAATGGAGTAAACTTAATTGAAGTTCAATTAAAAACATCGAACTGTCGATGCTGATACCGAATAAAACGGACCTTTGATTACAAAGATAAATGTAGGTTATCGACAACCCCTCGATGTGCATCTATATAATTAGGATTAAACTCGATATCGGCTGGACGTGAAGACTGAAATGACTGCCAGTTTTATGCAGGATGTAGAGCATTGAATTCCGTTTTAAACTTTGAGGCCCTATAGGTTGACGTTTAGAACCATGCAAACCGTCGATCGAGACAGCGGTTCTCAACCACCGTGTCGTAAGCCCCTGTCAAGGGCCCTGGTTTACAAATTCAATATTTTTATCTGAGAACGCACATACAAATGTTTACTAATTGTCAACTGTACATCTATGTTCAATATAGGCACGATGTATAAAGTAAATAAGTAGGTGTCGTGAATTTGTAAAGATTATGTTAGTCCATCGCAGAATAAAGAAGGTTGAGAACCACTGCTCTTTGTCAATAAAAGTGTTCTTGCACAGTTCATCTGGCAGCCTGTTTCGGGTTACTATTATTGTGTCACCATTTAAGTAGTATGTTGAGATCCATTGATGCCTTCGAATGATAAAAAATAAAACGGGATGTATTGAGTTCATCACAGCAATAAGTAAGCCAAGTAGAACTGAAAGTACCAGATACAGCTGGCACTAAGTAAAAAATGTTAACCAGCTGACATCCGAGGTCAATGACCTCGCGGGAACGACTCAGCCGTCATCTGGGGTCAATGACCTCTCGAAAACCACTGCATTAGAGATTCGTTAATTATAATAATATGAACTCTCTAAAATTACAAGCATTTATGTATAGTTTAGTAACTGAATATTGTATTCTATTTTTTATAGTCAGCACGGGGATCTCTTTACTATATATACGGCAATGTTATTATTATAAATGACTACATTCCTTGAAGACCATCCATTTTGAATTTGTACTTAATTAAAGTGTTTATTTATATTAAATAAAAATTATTATCTTTGAAAAAAAAAACAGTGTATTCATAACTTTTATTCATTTATTATAAACAAAAATTGTTATTAATCTTGATATGGTACATTTTATGGTCCGTTTATATATTTTGTTATCAATCGATATTATTGATCAGTTCAATCAATAAATCTAAACCTAATAGGGCTAAGAATCCACAAGCCATGCGAAGTTATCAGTTAGTCTCAACTGCTTTACACAAGATGGTAATTGCATAGAAATGCATCTAATGGGTGTTAGATTGCTCTGTTGCCAATATTATTGATAGGGAATATTTATGATATTTATGACCTCGAACTGCATGTCTAGTTGCAGTTTTAATTGCGATTACCCCTCCTATCTTTAATGACTTTGTTTGGAGCTAAAATGCAGGGGGTCGTTAGTTGGTGGCCTCTACCATCATAGCAGTCCCAAATATAAGGCGCGCATGCCGCAGCGTGGAACTCTTAGAACATTGGCCTCCCGAACAAAAAAGGCAACACGTAAACGGATAGTTGGCACTGTACTACCTATTTCTGCCGCAAAGCAGTCGAGCTTTCCGAATTAAAGGGTGGGAGAAACGTTGTCTAATACAATTGAGAGACTTTGGCTTAAATCATACGGATGGTGGTTTTTTTTGCCCTTGTAGGCAGACAAGCATAGGTGGATGTCGTGGGGCGGCAGTCTAGCATCATCATAACGACTTCCCCTCAGACCGGAATATACAAATGATTTATGATACAACTTGACAGCTTAATACTGACCTGTGGTAGCTCATAGGACGCTTCACCAAGAAAATCTATTCTTGCTCGTCGTTTTTTTTATTGCCCTTGTAGGCAGACAAGCATACAGCCCACCTTATTGTGAGTGGTTATAGTCGCCCATAGACTTCAGCAATGCCAGGGGCACTGCCAAGCTGCTGCCTATCGTTAAGTGTTTTTTTTTTTTTTTTATTGCCCTTGTAGGCAGACGACGGTGCTCTCCACAAGTCTCCTTTGAATAAGTCATGGGTCATCATGAGGTCATGTTTATTGACCACTCAACCTCAGATGAGTCAGAGCTCCTTTGCTCATGTAGAAGCAATAAATAACTGACTATTTTGGGGGGACCTTGAGATCCTATTATAATAAGACTGTATTCTCTGTTAATTTTTCATCTTCCATTATCTGACTAATCTGTATTTCCAGCCACTGATGAACATTGGTAAACCGTTGGCCATATTAGCTAATGACAATTTACAAACCTCGTCTCGATAAGCACACATCTATATTTCATGAATGTTTGTCCGTCACCAACATCTTAACACATCCAGGGCAAAACAGATGTTAGCTTCCAGTGTATTAAATTTTGATTGACTACTTACAAAACAAAGAATAAGTGTAAGACAGATCTCTTCGACTCAGTGTTGCCAGTGCACGCGAATCTAGACGTGTTTGTTCTTAGTGTTGCCAGTTTTTCTGCGTCGGAAATTGCCCATTTGTCTTAATATTTGAACGTTTTCGTCTTCGACCTCCCTGTCCATGCCCGATGTGCCGGGTACAGTTCCGAACAGTCTCAGCTTGTTCGGCAAGTACACGAGACCCAGAAGTGTGATAACTGAAAAATGAAAACATTGACTTCATTGGTGTATGAATTTCTTTTTACTCTGCTATACTGGGTCTCAGGAGACCGCTTCCGAAAACGAAGACGGACGATAATACTAAAGACACCTTTGATGATGGGACTGAAAAAAAACCGATACTGATTTTTTTTTAAATCATATTTTAAAAACGATTTATAAGCATAATTTACGCTCCATCATGTCAGTACAGTTAACTGAAAAGATAGTTTCATAAAAAATACGTTACTTTATTTAAAAAAAAAAAACCAGCAATGAAACACAAAATCAAAAACGGCTGATGCTCGAATCAACAAACACCCGGCGCGGCTTTTAAAAACATGTTTAAAAAAAAATCTGAATCAGGTTTTCTTCTTCCCATCATCACAGGTGCCATTAATACTATTGTCTGTGTGTACTATTGTCAATATATGTGATATTCAATATCAAGGAGTTCAAGGCTGTTTGGTTCAAGCGACACTTTTGCAACTTTCCAGGAGAGCCATTTAAAGCTTAAAATATCATAACCAAAAAAACTTCAGATATTTTAACGTGAAAACTTAATTGAAGTTCAATTAAAAACATCGCATTGTTGATACTATAACCAAATAAAAAGGACCTTTCATTACAAAGATAAATATCGCGTGTTAAGCGAAATGTCGCTTTTCATGGAAAGCGACTGGGCATGCCAAGTTGCTGACTACCGCAGAGTCTCATTTTTTTATTGCTTAGATCGGTGGACGAGCCCATCTGATGTTAAGTGGTTACTGGAGGCCATAGACATCTACAACATAAATGCGCCACCACCTTGAGATATAAGTTCTAAGGTCTCAGTATAGTAACAACGGCTCCCCACCCTTCAAACTGAAACGCATTACTGCTTCACGGCAGAAATAGGCAGGGTGGTGGTACCCACCCGTGCGGCCTCACAAGAGGTCCTACCACCAGTAATTACGCAAATTATAATTTTGCCGGTTAACACTATACCGAGTATGTATAAAAAGATACAACTTACTGTTCAAAACGCACGGAAACACCACATAGAAATTTAGATTCGTTGATCTAAAGTAGAATGCTTCAGTGAAATACAATATTATCGTTAGAATCAACGACCAGTAACCCATTGAGACGACACTGAAAAAATAAAATTGTATTATATTGAGATGTGTTGTTTTACTTATGGATTCTGAGTGAGGAAGGCATGACACCATTATGATCTGCACCTTTCGCTCGCTTGTATACACAAAGAGTTCATAGGCGACCCTGGTAGCGTATGGCTTAAAGTCTAGAACAGCTGTGACACAAATAAAATCAGTTTCACCCATCAGGAGGAGTGACAAATTCACAATGAATCACCATGAGCATGAGTGGAAAATTCACAATATTGAGGGGCGAAAAGCTATTTGTTTTAAACGACATTTTTGCAACTTTACCAGAGAGCTATTTACAAGTTTAAAATTTGGAAAAAATATAACGAAAAAAAAGTTTTTTGAAGTTCAATTAAAAACATTGAACTGTTGATGCTTATACCAAATAAAATGGACCTGTAATTACAAAGATAAATGTCGCGTGAACCACCTCAATATGATATCTACGGGCTATTGTAACCTTTTACAGTAGTACAGTGAGCTTTTCCATCAAACTACAAAAATAACAACCAACTTACAACTGTTCAAACAATTGTGTCTATGTATACACTAAGCGTACTGACAGTTCATTTTGCACAATTTTGTGCATTGTCAGATCTAATTAAAGAGTAATTTACAAAAGTTATAGATTTCATCGCTCAATAATGGGGATAAATGGTTTCATAAAAAATGAGAAAAAATAAGTAATGAAAGAAAAATGGATATTGCAAAAATTGTTTTGATAAGAGGGTTATAGAGTTGCATTATTTTATTTCTGGTCGTTCCCTCAATGCTGAGGATCGTGACTGTATGTCAATCTTCTCCACTCGGTCCGGTTCTGCGCCATATGTACCGCTCCCTGTATCCATTTCAAATAAATCAAATAAAATTATTTATTCACTTACGGTCTGTAATGTATGTATAAGGTGCAATGTATGAGCGCTAGAGCTTTTAGAACTGAATACATTCCTAATATTCTCGATATCGTGAAGTCACCTGGAATTCAACATAATTGAACTGTGTTATCTAGTATTCTAGAACATTCACAATGTATAGGAATCTTTTTACAACTAGATATAGCTCTAGGTGTATGCATTGAGACAGGCTGGATCACAATGTCCCATGTACATCATTTGGTGGGTCCACTGCTCAATATTGAAAAATAATATTTTCTTTAGTATTCACTATAATCTAATTTTGATTACTATCCTTTTATTGAATAAAAATAAATAATAGAAAATAAGACCTTAAATTTAGAAATAGTTTAACTTTTTTTTTATTGCCCTTGTAGACGTGGTTACCGTCGCCCATGGACTTCAGTAATGCCAGGGGCAGAGCCAAGCCACTGCCTAATTACAGAATTCTATATAATTTACAGTTAAATTTTTATTGCATGATATTATTTGCACAAATATGTGTTGTGTTGTGTACAATATATTTATTCTATTCTATATATTAAGTAAAGAGAGTGGACCCCTTTTAATATTAACTTTTCCCATGCTTGAGCTGTCGAGAAGCAGTACAAAATAATGTAGAATGTCAATAACACACCAGTGACAGAGATGAAGTAATATGAAGTTAGAAAATCAAATTCTATATAGAATTGCAGACGAATTCCTATGAAAATAAATAGATTTTAAATGAGATTTCCTTGTTTTTACCGAGCAACATATTACAAGTCAAGTAACAAGTCTTTTAATTAAAAATAATGTCAAAATTTATAGATCTGTTTAATGTAATTTGTGTGTAAGTGTGATTAAGTACTTATTTTGGAGACTGTACCGTTCATCAATAAAAATTTGTGTGTTATATGTAAACTGAATATATGGCCAATAAATAAACAGTGTGTTACCGTCTAAGTGCTCAGTCTCTCCATTGTTATTGAGAAATGATCTTCCTTCGATATACGATCGACCGGCCGTCCCCAAATCCATGAACGCGACGAACGCTATCCATCCCCGGAAAGCGTATAAAACTTTATTCTGTACAGCCATTATAACGTTAAACACTATATAAAGTAAAAGCTAAAGTTTTACTTTCGTAAAGTGACATCAAAACGTTAAAAATTACGAGTTAATTAAATTAAGTCACGTGTATTTCTGGTCCGTATTAAAACGGAAACCTCTAACGTGACTCGTAATGCAGCATTTTACCTGCATTATAGTTTTTTATACTAAAATTATAATGAAATTTCGATAAAATGATTCCGGTGTGTTACGCGCAGAATCCACACATTTCAAATTTTACCCTCCGTCAAACTTCAATGTCAGTTGATTTAGAAATGTCAATTTTGACAGTAGGTAGTAGAAATTACAGTCAAATTACATTTTTCCAATTCCAGTTGGAAAGCTATTACATTGGCAAGATAAGATAACACAACTTGATTTTGGTGAAATCAAAAAGGACCGCCAATATAAATAAGATAACGCACCATACACTGTGTTGTATATTCTGTTTTATGAAAAACTAGCGGCCCGCTCCGGCTCCGCCCGGGTCTATAACAAAAATTTCAGCGATATTTGACGTTGTTTTATTTTTTTAAATAAAAGAACACTTATTGCAGCACAACTTTATTAGTTAGACAAATGTTGTCGCGACACTTCTTGTAAATAATAATGTGTTCTACTAAGTTGTAGTACGTTATTTTATTCTATCATCAATAGTTTTCGCAGGGCACGCGATGTAATGAATATTTTAGGTATTTTTTTACACCTAGGGTTACATTATTAGAGTTTTAGTAAGGATTCCTAATTTTTTTTAAAAAAGATTGTACCTTATGTCGCTCGGGAATAATGTAGTTTCCAAACAGTGAAAGAATTTTTCAAATCGGTTCAGTAGTTTCGGAGCCTATTCAATACAAACAAACAAACAAATCTTTTCTCTTTATAATATTAGTATTAATGTTAGTATAGAAGTATAGAAGTATAAAAGTATAGATGATATGGAGTCAAATTGAAAAAAATTAACTAATTTAAGACATTAATCAATTGGGATGCAATTAAACGAAACGAGTTGATATGATGAAGTATAGTTTCAGTATAAAATGATGGTTATTTACTGATACTTTTGAGTGGACTTTTTGATAAATCCCTAGAAATTATGTCCAAAGGCTTCGTTTAATTTTCTCACATTTGTACACATTGACAGATGTTAAACATTTAATAAACTACCCTTATTATACGTTTAAACCGGTTGAAATATCAAATGTACAAAAAAAATCACTGTACTTTGCTTCTCGCGTTCCTGCAAATTCCTCTCGATACTTTTCGTGATAGTATTTTAAAAGTCACATCAACCTGCATTACGAAAATACTCATTTAACTAACTATTTCGTTCAAGTCTATGTCATTTAATTATAATTTTGAAAATGTAATTTGATCAAAACATTTTTTTTGTTATAAAAAATCGGCTGAACTTCAGTTTAACTTTAATTTTAACTTTAACACTTGGTTTTAGTTTGGTTTACCCAAATTGCTTCTTCAAAACTAATTCCATTTAATAGAGAGTTGGAAACACATATTTTATTGATTGTAGCCTGTTCTAATACATTTCAATACAGCATGTAATGTTGCTATAAGAAATAATGTTACGTTATCCGGCTGCAACTGGTCACAAATTCCTAAAAATACCGTCGCCATATTGGTATTGTCAAAAACTTCGGAATAAATCGGTGTAGATATAAAATGGTTTTTTGTCTCCGGTTTACAGATTTCTTTTCAAACAAGTGATTAGAAACGAAGAACAGTGACTTTAGATGTTTCGTTTATCGTGTAATTTGTGTTTATTTGACCGTGAACGATGTTTTCTGTGGAGAAATGCTTAGGGCGCAACGGGACTGGTATTGCCGAGGAATCGGAGCTGTTTGCCGGCGGCGGCGAAGGCAATGGCAAGGAGGGTGTGCCCACGGACGAAGTGGCATCTGCTGTAGCGGCAGTGTCTGATGAGATAGGTGACATCTTGAAAGACGAGTTGGGTGATGCCGATCGCGCGGACCGCATAGGCGCGGAGCTTGCAGACCTTAGCGCCGAGCTCGGGCTCCTCGCCGGTCTTGCAGACGAGCCTCAGCAGGACTTCCCCTCCCTCTACGAAATAGCTGTGAGTCCAACATGGCTGCCTATTCCACTTCGATAGATCACACAATGTATCCTTACTGACTCCTCTTCGCCTCTTATTCAAAGTCATTGACCTCGGGCATTCGCTAATTGATGTTATTGCGACAATCAATACAACACATTACATAGATTTTCCTATTCTATTAAAATCAGCTCATTTTTATTCTATTATATTTGGAATTCCCGAAAATGGTAAAAGAAAAACCTAACAAAATATACAGTGTATTTTTATACATACACACACCAGGTATTGCACACTCATAAAATGTATTGATTGCTTAAATCTGAATTTCAGCAAAAGCCTGCATACAATTTAATGTGCAATTTACCATTTAAAATGATCACTTTGGATAGAATCGAATAGAAAATAACACAGAAGGTAAAATTACGAATTCTAAAACTATGAACAAGTGACTTTTGTTAAAAGAAAAAATTATTTAATATTTGAAAAATAATTAGGACAATAGACAGAAAAAATTTGGTAAATATCACCCACTTAAATCAGAAAAAATCAGGCTATGCAAAACACCTATAATTGTTATCCTCATAGTAGCAGGAGTCACAGAGAAGTGATACAAAAAACTAAATAGTTGACATACAATATTTGTTTCCGACATGAACATAAATGTTCTCCAATAACAAGCTGGTTTCCATACATTGACAATAATGTGTAAGCTTTCCGATAGTCTCAGTAAAATCAAGAGCTCTGACAGGTCTTTCTTCAAACATGATTTGCAGAGTCATCAGTAGTAGGCATTGACTTTATGCCGGGCACTGCTGACATCATTGTTGTTGATTATTTACCATTAAGCCATTAAAAAATCTCTCCCTTTAGCTTAGTAGAGTTGCAGCTCTATTTGAGGTGAACGTCAATAAGCTATCCCCCTTATTTACACGGTTTTACATAATATTGCTTTTACACAGTTAAATAATCTGCAAATTCGGTACATTTATCAAAGAGTATAGTTGCTTAGTGACATACATGTTTTTAAAAATATTTTTGGTCCTATATTACTGCCATCCATGTTGTCAAATGAATATTTGACAACATGGATGGCAGTAATATAGGACCTCCTGTATTGTGAAATACATTATACATTCAGGGAAATATCTTTCTTCTCGTATTAAAACTGTATAATCTCAAAACTTAATAATTTCACAGGAGAGTGTTTTAAAGGCTTAACATGTGATATCTCTATATATAAAAATGAATTGTTGTTTGTTAGTCTCGCTAAAACTCTAGAACGGCTGGACTGATTTGACTAATTTTGGTCTTGAATTTTTCGTGGAAGGCCAGGGAAGGTTTAAAAGGTGAGAAAATATAAAAAAGCTCGGAGTTATATAAAAACAAACAATTTTGTTTTTCCTTTGATGTGTCTTTTATTTATCGATTGAGGCACTAAGATGTCTGCCGGGTCAGCTATTTTTAATATTTATCATCTTTGCAACATTTATTTTTTATTATTTACCAATTACATTATCTGTCTTTTAAAGTAAGATAAAACTATTTATTAATTTTATTAATAGTAGTCAAAACAGGTAAACTAAAAAAAGCTAAAATTAAACTAAGCTCTTTTGACAGTATTTATGAGATAAATACTGGTGATACCAAATGATTCCGCATATTAACTCAATTTCGAATATTTTTGGAAATTGTACACTTTCAATGTGGAAAGACGATATGTGCCCTTAATAATATGTACCTATGCAACCGCAGAGTACTGTGAAAGCTACTGAAAAACACTTGATAGTTTTTACTACGAGTGCAAGTTAAGGTATTAGAACTTATAAGTTATCAATGTGAGTCTTTATGCGTCATATGTGTCAAAAAACATTGACAAAAAATGAAGAGAATAGAAAAGTAATATCTTTGGAAACAAATTGAATCGCTAACAAATTATTATTTTCCATGAATAAAGCGGAAATATTCATAGATGGGTTCAGTTAAGTTTTTAATATACTTTACCTTTGTTTTACTGAATTAAATGACTGAATTAAATATTTGTTGGGAGTTTATTTTCTTCTACACAGTTTTATATATCAATTTTATATTTGACAGTATTGTTACGAACTTATTGGATAAGTGTAAATAGGGATATAGATGTGGTAAGATGTAGAACAATAGCTAACATTATTCAGCTTAGTTCAGTGCAGAGATCATGTAATCCAGTTTAAGTGCTGATATAGCTATAAAATAATACACATTCAAAAGTAAATATTGCAGTAGATAATAAAACTAATAGTGAATAATTTAATAATATGCAACAAAAAACTTGAAAACATGAAAAATACTGTAAAATGTATTGGTTATATTATCCTTTAATTATCCAACACAAATATGTTTTAACACTTTGCTTTTCTACACCTTAACTAACAGTCAAGTTACAAGTAAATACAGTACGGTTTATTATCACTAATGAAAAATGAGACAGTAGTAATCTTTTAAGGGACAAATCTTACAAAACTGGTTATTAAACTTAGTCTCTAAAGTCATCATAATAAGATCGTAATTAATAAATATTAAGTTTACAGTAAATAGTGCTTTGGAGTTTAGGCTTTAAGGTGATTGATTTAAAGGTCATTCTTATGGTAAACTCAATAGTCAGAGGCATAGAGCTTTTTCGTCAATCTGCTTAAAAAAAACATTAAATTACATTTTGAATAAATTTTAATACCTGGAAATACGATTCCATAAAAATCATGTTTTTGCATTTAATAATGATTATATTACGATATGGCAACGAAGCACGGGGATTCCCCTTTCTCCCAAAATCTAATGCCACCGAAATGGTGAGCTTAGTGTTTTTTATATGACTAAATACTTCCGGAATGTTACTGGTTATAAAAACACAGGCACTTAGGTTCACCCAGATCGCCTGCGTAATAATTATATAAGCTAAGACTTGCACTCGCTCGATAGCTACTCGGAAATCTGCGGCTGAATGTTTTAATTATACGAAATGTGTGTCCCTATCGATTCGCTGGTAGCCTACCGGGGTATTCCACCTACGATAGGTACATAGTTGAGCTCACGGGCTCAACTTGAGAGATTTTGCTAACACTAGCCCTAGCAAGAGCAGTGCTTTGTAGAATTTTTGAGGACCTCTTTAAGGACGAAACTTATCCGATTTCTTTTTTCGTCAATTAAAATGTATTTTTTATTTATTGCATAGATGGATAGACGAGCTCACGACCCACCCGGTGTTAAGTGGTTACATAGACATCTACGACGTAAATGCCGCCACCCACCTTGAGATGTGAGTTCTAAGGTCTCAGTATAGTTACAGTTCGCAGAATCTACCACCGGATCGGAAAATCGCAACCCACTTTGAAGATCCGGCGAGAAACTCAGTATGTCATAGCGAAGATTTGTTTTAAAAGCCACAGCAGCACCGATGGAATTGAGAAAATATATCGGACAATGTGTTTTCTATAACTGTCTGCAGTTAAATGACTTTGACCTCGCCGGTTTGTCCGAGGTCAGGCTGCGAATCGATTTTCTAGTGGACCCGGCGCCCCGATGACCTAGGTCATGCCGTGGCTCTATCCAGACTACGCTTACATTGTACGTAGATGTAATATCAATATCCCTCCAGACCGCGCCCGTGGTCGTCCAACTCTTCTGGAACAATCTGAGTGGCCCACGGGCAACTAGATCGGTTCCCCCTAAATAAAAAAGCATCAACGACGAATTTGCTATAAGCGCTTCGAGATTGATACCTCTTTTTTGCTTCGATGGCTGGAAGAGTTTACGGTCAAACTTGTATTAACCGGGTTACCGGAGCCCATAGTTATCAACGATGTAAATACCTCCACCCGCTTTGAAACCGAAACGCGCTATTGCTTCACGGCAGAAATAGGCAGGGTGGTTGTACTTACCCGTGCGGACTCACAAGACGTCGTACCACCAATAAAAAATTGTATTTAGATGTTGTTGTATTTAGATGTTATCAAAGTCGACTAGGCTGAGGCCTGTGAGCTTACCTACACGTTCGGTGATATTGATATTATAATTATAACACCTGAGCACCCCCTTGAATCTACTGGTAAATTGGACAAAAAAGAGAACTGTGGGGAGTTTAGCGTTAAATCCAATATCAGTCAACTGCCACTTAATGATAATGTCGTAAACCATACTCAGGCTTTAAAATATTTCATTTTATAATTGCTTAGTTTGGTGGACGGACTCGGGGCCCACCTGGTGTTAAGCGGTTACCGGAGCCCATAGACATCTACAACGTAAATGCCGCCACCCACCTTGAGATATAAGTTATAAGGTCTCAGTATAGTAACAACGGCTGCCCCGCCCTTCAAACCGAAACGCATTACTGCTTCACGGCAGAAATAGGCAGGGCGGTGGTACCTACCCGCGTGGACTCACAAGAGGTCCTACCACCAGTAAAAAAAGTTTTAGTTTCATTCGTTTGTCATCTATTTCATGTACACATGTGAGCGGTCGGTTCGTACTTTGTCGCCTGGTCAGTGTACATCTTTTAGTTCTAAGTTAACAGCCATTAAAAATAAATGAGTCGATTTGAGCACCTCCTTTTTATAAGTCGGTTAAAAATGTTTCTGTGTTGTTTGAGGCGTTTACGTGAAGTCCGCAGCGTCTAGAAGCCGCTATCTGAAGCGTCTATCCACTAAGTTCAGGGTTTGTTTTATCAAATTGACACGTTGTTTTTTTTAACTTTGCAGCTGATGGGCCATCGTGGTTCCGGCAGTGGGTCCTCGTCATCATCATGGTCTTGCAGCAGAGGCAGACAGAGAGCCCCCACGAGGCCGCAACGCTTACCAAGGCGCCGACCCATAGCTAAAGGCAAAGAGGCAAGTGGAAATTTGTACAACACGTCATATCGAGGAGTGAAAGGTTATTTGGTTGAAGCGGCATTTCGCCAAATACGTAACATTTATCTTTTTAATTAAAGGTCCGTTTTATTTGTTATTAGTATCAGTATCAGCAATTCGATGTTTTCAATTGAACTTCAATTAAGTTTAACCCTGTTCAAATACACAGCTAAAGAAGTGTTTTTGTTAATGATATTTTTTTCCAAATTTTAAACTTTAAATCGCTCTCAAAAATGTTGTTTAAACATTCCCGATCCTGCGGACCGAATGGAAAACAAACAGCTGACGTCGCCATAAACATGCCGCTTAGGATCCTCCCGATCCATTAACGGTGCTTTTAGGTACCACAAGCACCGGTCATCGTTCTCGTCGAACCCGTCGCTTGCGACGAAGGGTTCGGCGAGTTTCCGATCCGGTGGTAGATTCTGCGAAGCACTGCTCTTACTAGGGTTAGTGTTAGCAAGGTCGTCATGTTTGAGTTCTGTGACCTCACCTACTTGTTAGGGTTACGCTGACATAGCCTCTCAAGGCTATAAGCTTAGGTAGGAAGGAAAATAAAAAAAATAGTCGCTTAAACCAAACGGCCTTTTTTCATCTCTCGATGTTAACACAAGCACTGTTAACGGGCTCATAAATACCACGTTTTAGGTCTTCTTTTCCCCCATCTTATCCCACTAGGTGGGGTCGGCACATCTAATTTTTCTCTTCTATTCTCTTCTATCAGCCGTCAGCTCAACACTCACGCCTGTCTCTCACATATCATCATTTACCATCCATCCAATGTCTTCTTCGGTCGACCTCTTCCCCCTCTACCTTGCACTACCATTTCCATACATCTCCTTGTCACATAAATATTTTCTCTACGCATCACATGCCCATACCACGCTAACCGTCCGCTCTTTAATTTGTCAATTACCTGGGCTACTTTCAAATTTCTCTGATATACTCATTCCTTATCTTGTCCATTCTTGTAACTTCACACCTTCCTTATCGTTTTAAGTATCGTGTGAATATCGGGAACCCGTGTCTAATGTTGTCGTGACGTTGTCGTGGCCTTGTCGTGCAGATGTCGCGTCGCCGCAGCGAAGCGGCGCGCCGCGCGGCTGGCGTGAGGCGGCGCGGCGCCGACCCCGCCTCAGACGCGTCCGACGTCGGCGCCGACTCGGACTCCGACGATCAATGGACAGAACTAGAAGATGCATGTGAGTGAACCGGCTTTAATTCGAAGACAGTTGACTGCCTTGTAGGTCACCGGTGCCCTACGCGGCCCACTGAAGTAAATTCTGTTACTAAGGCACCGCAATATCGTGTAGACTCTGAGTAAGACGAATCTGACCGATACTGAGAATGAATATATTTCTAAGAGACCTAACAGACTAAAATTTAATGAACAAAAAAAATCATGTCTGAAGGTGGGTGACGGCTTTGATGTCCTGGTTGTTGTTTATGGACACCGGTAACCACTAAACACCAGGTGGGCTGTGAGCCTGTTCTTCCATTTCATAATAAAAATAAAGGGAGATTGTCAATATAAAAAAAAAATCATTTCAGGTTCATCAGACAGTTCATCTGTTGCAGAATCACATCCCACTAATATTGATTTAGAGTACAAAGAAGGGGTATGTATAATGTTTTAATTTATTTAAATGATAGATGCAAACCAAGTGTACAGCGATATCAACAGAGAACTCCGATCCGTTCGACTATTCGAGCCAGAATGTTTTGTGCGACAATAGTCACTCATTTATAGTAGAAAGTGTACCCACACTTAGTCATGAATATACTTGAATACAGTCTTAAAGAATTGTTGACATATTTAACATTAAGGAAACAGCTAACTTGTAACTATACTGAGATCTTAGGACTTATATCTCAAGGTGGGTGGCGCATTTACGTCGTAGATGTCCATGGGCTCCAGTAACCACTTAACATCAGGTGGGCTGTGACTTCGTCCACCCATCTAAGCAATAAAAAAAAAGCTAACTAACTCTTTTTAGTTAATTAAATAGTGACGTTGCCCCTACATATATTATATACTTAATATCTCATCAAATATGCATCAGCTTATGAAGCTACTAGTGCTTATAAATGATAGCATTATGATTTGAGACAGCAATTCTTTGCAAAAATTGACAGATTTTCGACAAGTTGGAGGTGTAAATTACGTATTAGCCTTTCCGGAATCCGAAATAGCTAAGTCACTTTGTAAAATAGTTTTGGTGGGCCTTCAGAGACGATAACAGATTCCTTTATTTTTTTATATAATGACTCTCCTTTGTTGCACAATGGAGTGGCATATTCACTGGTGAATAATCTCCCTAAATAAATGTAATTCACACGTGGTAGAAGTGAAACCTTCAAAAATTCAAATACAATTATCTTAAATGTCTAAGTATCTGTAAAATTTTGTCGTTAGTAGATAATTATTATAAAAATATTTTTTATAGTATGAGGTAGCGCCCTCTGTGAATTGATATTTTAACTTCACGTATAATCCTAAATTAAAATTCACTACAAGAGGTTTCATACGCACGCTAGTATTAAAAAATCTCATAGATGGCGCTGTATTAAACTGTCTCTATGGACTTATTTTTTCGTTTCATCGAGTTTGAAACCACAACGATTCTAAAGAAGCTTCACTTAAAAAATAAAAAAAAATTGCATTATATTTGATGAGCTCAAAGATCGCTGTTACGTTTTTCAGGTGGAGGCACCAGCGCTGGGGCAGTATCTGCTTCCACTGCTGAGCGAGCAGGTCTCATCAGCGAACAATGCCCCTGAGCGATTCCTGATTAGACACGAGGATATATTGCAGGTGATATACATAATAGGTGTCAGCACTGTGGTCACATGGTGGTAGTTAAACCATAGCAGAAATAGGCAGGATCGTTGTTGAAGTCGTCGCGGTCCAAGAGATAATTAAGACGTGCGGTGCATTAGTGTTGAGCAATGCACCGATGTTTGAATTTCAGACGGGTACAAATTTTTCTAATGAAATACGTAGTCAACAAATGTTCACGATTGACTTCCACAGTTAAGGAGTAACATCGTGTAATAGAAATCAAACCCGCAAAATGATAATTTGCGTCATTACTGGTGGCAGGACCTCTTGTGAGTCCGCGCGTGTAGGTACCACCGCCCTGCCTATCTCTGCGCATTTACGTCGTAGATATCTATGGGCTCCAATAACCACTTAACACCAGGTGGATTGTGAACTCGTCCACCCATCTAGGCAATAAAAATACCAAAGGTGGTTGTACTCGCAAAACACTATTATTGATTTTCCACCTAAATTTACCACCTTGCATGGGTCAGACCTTTAAATAAGCAGGTGTGTGGTGTTGGTTCACACATATTCCTTACCTACCATCCCGATAAATACAGAAAATAAAATGCATAACAGACTTCCTAAGCTTGTTCATTATGGACTGGAGATAGATAAGAAACTATTAGTATTTTTAATTATTTTATTTATTATTTATTTCAGGCAACAACAAGTCCATATGTAAACTTATCCATTTATGTAAAATGTATCAAACTATTTCAGATACTATTAGTTCGTTATATGTGATATCAAGAGTCAAAGTTAACAAATCTTTTTTTTTTTAAATAGGCGGTAGTTTGCACGAAAAACATCTCAGCCGGAATCATGATGAAGATGATGATTTTGATGAAGATGGTTGAATATAACTTTTCTTTATCTTCCAGTTGCTGGCTTCAGCGGAGGAGAACGCCCGCGACAGCAATCCTTTAGCTGACGAAGTTCCCTTGCAGCCTCATCATGCGTAAGTTTTCCTTGTCTTGTGATGCTATTGTGTGGGAGTAAACTTAAATTAAAAAGGTCGAACAGTTGATGCTAATACCAAATTAAAGGGATCTTTAATTATAAAGATAAATGTCCCTTAAACCTTTCATCCCTCAATATGCTCTCATACCACTTGTTTCTTTAATTTTTCCAGTACATCCATCTACCAATCAAAAATGACTTAAATAACTAATTCATTGCCTTTTGATACATCTAACATGCTCATCTACCATTCTGATAGACTATAAATCCCACATCTATATTAATATATAGATCTACAGTGGTTTTAACGGATGTTCCATTATAACTACTGAACCATGAATCTGATTGACTTGAAACTTGGTATACATATAGAAAATACATGTAATAAATGGATAGGCTAATATTTATATAAGTGTTGGACCTCCTAATAATAATGACAATAAAGAATAATTTTAATTTTAAATGCGCAGCGAAGCGGGCGAATACGGCTAGTCTATGTATATGACTGAATCTTCGAACTACATTTTCACCGGCTTCGAGACGTCCCAGTGACTTGTAAATTTTCACACGCATCAAGAATATATAACGTCACAATAAATATATCAATTTGGCTTAATATCCTGACATTAAAGATAAAATTAATATTTTTTGTGTTGTTTTATTGCTATTGTGACTAATATATACACTTTTTTCGTTACAGTCTGTCTCACATGGATTCGTTTGAGTTCGAGGAGCCGCCGGTGTCCCCTGATGAGGAAGCCGCCCTGCTTCACTATATATGCGGTCTGTATAATATACTCTATCTGTTAATATGTGAAGAAAAAACTTTTTACCACTCTTTACAAAAATTGCGTGGACAGAGGAGTATGAAATTTCATACACTTATAGAGAATATAGAGAAAGAGTGCAGAATATTAATATTTTTTTAATTATACATAAAAAAATACATTAAATAAATAAAAAACTACACACCAGAAAAAGGTTCTTGAGGCAGAAATCAAATGCGCTGGTCAGATCAGATACGCTCCAGTCTGTACCCCTTAGTCTAGGATGCGTGCAGCTGATGATAGACAGGCTTAGTTCAGAATATCCCAGGAGAAAATTATTAAGGGGAGCATGAGGATTGAGGATTATCAACGCAAGGAGGAAGGGGCCGTTAAATTAAAACTTAAACTTCAAGTGTAAGTTCGCGCTGACATTGCAGAAGCGGAAACGGATGTAGCGGTGCGCGAGTTCGAGCCGGTCCCGGAATGGCTGCTCGGGGTCTACCACTCCTGGTGCGAGATCAGCGCCCTGGTCTACACGCTCATCGGTGCTGACATGTGAGTACTCGGCATGTGCAGGTAGCAGGGCCAGTGACCATGAGCGAGAAGTTTGCGTCCCAATCCTAATGTATGCTGATTTTCCTAAATTAATATTTGTAGGATCATTCTGCCGATTTCGATCGAGACAGGTTTGAAGGGTTAGCCACTGATGATGATACTTGTGGGCTTAATTTTTTTTTATCGGTTTTATGGGAGTACGAGCTTGCGGCCCACCTTGTGTTAAGTGGTTACCAGAGCCCATAGACATCTACAACGTAAATGTCGCCACCCACTTTGAGATATAAGTTTTAAGGTCTCAGTATAGTAAACCTTAACCACTTGAGACCAGGTTCAGCTATCATCAATACGGTAAATATTTTTTTGTACTGTAAAATCGAAATAGTTTGTAGCGGTAGCTATCGTAGAGCAGAAGATATATGATGGATGCCCAAAGCGAGCTAATGCTTTTTCAAGATAAGCTTACAAGTATATAATTAGTTTACTGACCGATGCTACTCGTTGGTTTGGCAGTATTAACTATGAATGGAAGATCTTCCATTGAGCTGTTGATATTGCGACAGACAGACTGTCCGAATGTTTTTTTTTATATTTTCTTCTTCCGTACCTATATGCTGGTTACCTCGAGGGGTTTTACCAGCTTACCGAACGAGTAGGTGTGCTCACGGGGCTCCAGACTCCAACTTGAAGACGTTGCTAACACTAGCTCTAGCAAGAGCGGTGCTTTGTGGAATCTACTATCGGATCGGAAACGCGACCCACTCCGAAGACCCGGCGAGAAACTCTGTCTGAGACTTAATCAAATGTTGTTTGGAACTTGTATATTTATGAAAGCTTATCTTGAAAATATCGTTAGCGAGATTCAGGCATCTGTCATATATCTCGTGTTGTATGATGACCTCTAGCGTAACACAATTTTTTTTTATGCCCTTGTAGGCAGACCAACATACGGCCCACCTAATGGTGAGTGGTTACCGTCGTCCATGGACTTTAGCAATGCCAGGGGCCTAGCCAGGCCGCTGCCTACCGCCTAGATGTCTTAAGATACTTAAATTGGTACACACTTAACTACAGGTCCGTGGAGCGAGTGTCTGAGGACTGGGTGTACCGCGCGAGGTTCGGGTGTCACTGCCGCCTGTGCCTCTGCACGGCCAACAACAGCGCCGCCCTGGCAGTCTTCATACGAGACCTGGTCTGGTCGCTGGCGCACGGTACGTCGTGTATATATATATACTAGTCTTACTGGTGGTGGTAGGACGTCGTCGTGGCCTAAAGGATAAGGACCTCTTGGGAGTCCGCACGGGTAGGTACCACCACCCCGCCTATTTCCGCCGTGAAGCAGTAATGCGTTTCGGTTCGAAGGGTGGGGGTAGCCGTTGTAACTATACTGAGATCTTAGAACTTATATCTCGAGGTGAGTGGCGCATTTACGTTGTAGATGTCTATGGGCTCCAGCAACCACTTAACACCAGGTGGGCTGTGAGCTCGTCCATCCATCTAAGCAATAAAAAAAAAAAAAAAAAAAAAAAAAAACGTCAAAGACTTTAACTTCTTTAATCACAGATTACGCTAAGGCTACACTTTAAACAAATAATATTAAAGAAATCAATATTAAACTATTCCCCACTTGACCACAGATTTTAACAATAAACAAAATATAATAGTCTTTAAGATAGTGTGTGTCAAATACATGTTAGTGTGTGTAATGTTTTCTTTGTTGGTTAATGTATTTTGTATGCATTATTTTAAAAAAAATATTAGCATTGTGCACTCCTCTATTTTCTATAAGTGTGGGAAATTACATACTCCTCCGTCCGCGTGATTTTGGTAAAAAGGGGTACACAGTTTTTGCTTCATGTAATAATATATAGATAATATATAAGTTAATTTCTACTGTCACGCCTAAGCTAATAAATTTTATTTTGTTTCACATTAATTGACAGATGGCCTTACCTTACCTAGCTGACCTGCACCTTAAATATAATATTGTAATGCATCCGAATCCAGGTGGATTGAGCGCTGCTGCGGTCGGCGTGGTCAGGTCGCTGGGCGTGCAAGCGGGACAGACCACGTGCCATCTCGCTCACTGGGACCTGCCCAGACTGAGGGCCGTCCTCATGTCCCACGAGGACGGTAAGTGACCTGAAGGTGGCTGAAAATGTGTAGAATACATTTCTGATGATTTTTCATCTGAACATTTATGCTTGTTGTTTCAAGCTACGAGCAACGCCGGTAAATCTGCTATGTAATAAATTACTGGCAGTTTATGGACGCAAATATTTTTTTATCTTGAGAAAATTAAACGTATATGATACTGGTGGTAAGACCTCTTATGAGTCCGCACGGGTAGGTACCACCACCCTGTCTATTTCTGCCGTGAATAATGCGTTTCGGTTTGAAAGGTGGGGCAGCCGTTGTAACTATACTTGAGACCTTAAAACCTTATGTCTATGGGCTCCAGTAACCACTTAACACCAGGTGGGCTGTGAGCTCGTCCACCCATCTAAGCAATGAAAAAAAAACCTTTTTTGCTTATAAATTTTACGCCGGGAACATTTAGTACAAATACCATCATGTATTACGTCTTATTGATATTGGATGAAGGGTGCCGATTCGAAGCGCAGGGCACTTGCACATGCGTTAGTATTGTGTGACGCCTTAAAACTTCAATACATTTGTTACGAAACACCGTCAGCTTTGGACCGCTTATACGCACCTGTCTAATGGTGCCCTAGTAATTGTTGATGTCGCAACCGACCGAGCATGTCTGTATGTTTATCTGGGGTGACGTGTTTAATCGTCTGTGAGACGTCACTGTTTCGACTGTCACTGTCAATCGACTTTGGATAGTTCAGCGACTGTGTCATACTACTTAAAACTGGAACTAGTGAACACTTTTAAATGTGAATATCGGTAATGTTTAGTTTCGGGTTTGGTCATGTAACTGTCAGTATTTTGCAAGATGTTATAATATTATATATTTTGCCATTCATTCATACATAATTCAACTAATAATTAAAAAATCCATTTATTTTCAATGTCGTCCCTAAGAAAATCAATTGTGTTAAAAATAATTTTCACTAATAAGATTATCGTTTAGTTTTTTCTTAAAATGAAAATCGTCTTGGTCCCTTTGCTGTGTATAAAAAAAAATTGTCTAATTCCAGCCGGAGCTACCATTGTGTACGAGCAGTTGATACGTTTGGCAAAGGAGAGCAAGACAACAGAACAGATAGTCGACAAGATATGTCTGTGTCGAAGCTACGATCAGCCAATGGACAAAGAGTGCGTATAAATTTATATGTGTGTCAGGGAATGGTATCGTTATTGAAAATTTAATGAGTAGCGTGAAGCAACGACACTATGGATTCGAATGTGGTCCATGGTCCGCACGTGCGCTAGGACCAAATTTGAAAAACAGGAGTTAACATAATATTAATAATCTTTGATATAATAAATATCCAAACCGAATCTTATTATGTTTCAGACATGCAGTGGATCGTTTCTGTAAGATATTAGAAAATTTTAAAATAGCATCCACGATTGCGTTCAAGGTGAGTAAAGCTTCAGAGATTAGCTTTACAAAGCGTTATGTAGGGCCTTATGGGAACAACTGACGACGAGGGTTAATGACCCGCACGGAATCAGCTGACGAGGAGGGTCAATGACTCGCACTGGAACAGCTGATGAGAGAGGTCATTGACCACGTGCAGTATGGCGAGATGTCTTGTTCATGATAATTTTTATATCAGTGTTATTGTATAATGTATTAAAAAAATTCGTTTTCATAATTTATTGAAAGGTATTCGCGTAAACAAAGAGAACTTCACATGGCTTCATATAAAAGCAGTTTTTGTTAAATGTAAATAATATATTTATGTTCAAAATTTCATAGCAATTTTCCTCTGATATGGACTTCGTTTTCGCGCCTATAATATTAAACATTGAAAAAATTTAAATTCAACTAAAAAATGAAAAATAAACAATAGGATATTAATAGCTTTTCAGGATGTTATCAAAATAACCCTTCTACTCAAATTTGTTCATAAAATACTTATAACTACTGATACCATGCACCCCACGCTTTTTTTTTTTTACAATAAAATCATTTTTTCTTACACTATTTTTAATTTAAATTTATTAAAAGTTATTTTCTATTTTTTTATTTTATTTCCTACAAAAGCGTATTTTGCTTTCGCTTCGGAAACTGTAATTTATTATTGATTTCTCCACTATTTAATGGATTTTATCATACATATAAACCTTCTTCTTCAATCACTGTATCTATTAAAAATAACCGCATCTAAATCCGTTGCGTAGTTTTAAAGATTTAAGCATACATAAGGATATAGGGACAGAGAAAGCTCCTTTGTTTTATACTATGTAGTGAAGAGAAAATTTAGACCTACCCCACCAAGACCCACCCCGTAACAGTACCCTGTCACTGTACACCATTGTCCATGTATGTGGGCTAGAGCGTGTAGCCGTGTCGTGTGTGCAGGTGGAGGTGCTGGGCAGCGGCGGGTGGGTGCGGGGGGCGCGGGCCCGCTTGGCGCGCTACCTGGCGCCGCACCAGCGAGCCGCCGCCGCCGCGCGACTCCAGCACATGGCCGCCACCACCAAGCCCAAAGACCGTACGATCACTTGTTACTAAGACTTTCTACCTAAGCTATTTCAGTGTAACATTAACTAGGTGAGCTCACGGGGCTCAAACCTGACGACGTTGCTAACATGAACCCTAGCAAGATGGCGAATAAGCCTTCGTTATAGGAGGACAGCAGAGGAGCGCTCATACAAAGGAATTGAACGGAATTAAATGTTAATCATAGAATTCCTCCCACCTACTCAGACTCGAGTCTGACATACCCGGCCTGACCTGCCATCGATAGGATATCTGTAAACTGGATTCCCTGTTATCCTGGATAGAAAAGGAGTCATTCAATAGGATAGGATTTTTTAAATTTATTGCCCTTTGAGGCATAAGGCTCACCTAATGGTTAGTAGCTACAGTATTCGCCCATGGATGTAAAAGGTCACAGTACCATAAGCGACTTTAAGTAAACTCAGCTCCGATGCGGGGTGATTGTAAAAAGATGTTAACGTTATTCATTAAAACTTATCTTGTTCAGATATTCATTTATTCACATGGGATACTTTATATTCAAATTCTCAACCCAAGCTGTCTTGCACTAAACAAGATATCGTGTGGAAAGTATATCATACGTATTTATCACCATCCATCTTGTTAGGAGTGCTCTTTTTGAAGGACCAACTGCCTTCAACAGAACTGTCTTTCTCTTATTGCACTAACAAGCGGTGATATTTCCAAATATCCTTTACGAGTTGGTACTTTAAATATAAAAGGTATCGATTTCAAGCTCTGTAAAGTTTTTTCTGTGTGAACCGATTTTCAAGATTCGTTTTTTTAACTTTGAAGCTATCGATTCTCATTTGGTCCTCTTTAAATCTTATCAAGACCCGACCATTAGGTGTGGAGTTGTCCTTAATAATGCATATTTAATTAACTTTGACTACGCACTTTGATGATATTCACATTATAATTATATTATTATTGTCTTTTTTTTCAGTAAGCGCTTGGGCCAGTTATAAACACAAGTGTGACTGCCTAACGCCAAGGACGCTCTGTGCTCAGCAAAGGAAACAGTTGCTCAAGTTAGTAAGCAATCTCTTAGCCATATTATTCGATACATATTTTTTTTAATTGCCGTACTGGCAGACTAGCGTACGGCCCAGGTTGGAACGGATGAGGCGTCGTGCCATCTCGAATTTACTTTGCAATGTCTACGTGAATTATGACGTCACTATACAAACTTGTTACAAGTTGAAAAAGCTGATAGCCTTGAGAGGCTATTTCAGCCTTACTAGTTGGTGAGCTCACGGGGCTCAAACCTGGCGACGTTGCTAACACGAACCCTAGCAAGAGCCGTGCTTCGCAGAATCTACCACCGGATCGGAAACGCGACCCACTGAGAAGAAAAGAAAGAAAGAGAAACTCAGTGGGCTGTGTCTGTGGGTTAATTTACTCGTCGAGCCCCTCGTCGCAAGCGACGGGTTCGACGAGAACGATGACCGCTGCTTGAGGTACCTAAAAGCACCGTTAGTGGGATCGGGAGGATCCGAAATGACGTGACAAACTATTGCTCTCCCTGTCTAGCGTTAGATTTGAAACTTTCATTAAAGTTTAGTCCTTTTTCAGAATATCGTTTTTTGGAATGATGCAGGCTGTCGACGAGGCGAGCAACGAAAAGGATAATGTTGAAGTTTTAGAGGTAATTGTCAGATGTTCATTTTATAATAATAACACAGAAATGTAAGTAGCGTCTGTGGCTCTGATAAGACTAGCGGTGTGCACGTATTAAGTTGGCATTTCACGGATGAAGTTTTATTTTTTTATATGGCTTAGACAGGTGGACGAGCTCATAGCCCAGCTGGTGTTAAGTGGTTGCTGGAGCCCATAGACATCTACAATGTAAATGTCAGCATCCACCTAAGGTCTCAGTTTTTACAGTACACCGGCTGATCCAGCCTTCACACTGAAAGGCATTACTGCTTCACGTCAGAAACAGGCAAGGGCGCTGGTACCTACCCGTGCGGACTCACAAGAGGTCCTACTACTTTTTTTTTTTTTCTTCCTACCTAAGCTGTTAGCCTTGAGAGGCTATTCCAGCGTAACCCTAACTAGTCCTACCACCAGTAAATGACAAATGTTCACGAATGAAATATAAGAAGATAACTTTTTTTTTTTTGCAGACACCAAAGGAGGTTCCGCCTGAGACGGGAGGCGGGGAAGTGCAGAACGAAGACGTCATCGAAGTCAAGTGAGGCGATAGCTTATACTGTACATATATAGTCGGGATAAATTATTATTAATATTTATGCTTTACCAATACTTATTTATTTGTCCAGTCCTTTGTGTTTATAAACATTAAACACACCCCGAATACTCCCACACCAAAACAGTTTCCGCCAAACATTGAAACATGGCAGAATAACAGTTTCAGCAAGTAAATAATAACGTAGAATAAACCAAACCATACATTACCATGCCAATCACTGAGAATAGTGACGTTTGCGCCCATAAAGACATAATTAGTAGGTAAGGTAACGTCAAAAGTTAAAGACAACTCGTGACGTCACATGTTAGTAATCGTTCGTGCTCAATGGTTGACTTGTAATGCAGTTCAGTTTCAGACCGGCTGTTTGTTGGAGAACCCCGGTATCGAGTCTCGGTAGACCGGATCAGGGTTCAGCAGAGTTTGATCTTGTTGACAGGTCGCCCGGTGACGTGGACGCGAGGCACTCGGAGAAGGAGTACGAAGCGGAACGCAGCGACTCGAATATGATCGATTTAGACGATAGTGAGTATAATTATATATCTTAATATATATAAATTACGTGTCACGTTGTTTGTCCGCGATGGACACGTAAACAACTAAACCGATTTTAACTTTTTTAAATTTTAAATATGTGTTTTGTTCCAACTTAGACCATAGGATGGTTTTATTTCGATTAATGGTCGCATTATTTACTAATTAACAATAAAATGATTTCTTATGTTGATTATTGTTCTTAATTGCAAGTTTCAGAAGTCAGATGGCGCCTTAAATCAGTTTTTACAGACAATTGTAATAATGTCTGACATTAATATCTCATAGATGGCGCTGTGTTAAAAATACCAACGTTTCACATAAGCTACAATTTAATGGAATAAACACCACGTGTTGCTGAGGCTAAAGTATAAGTGAAATTTATTTCGTAGTAAACGCAATACAGTGAAATCCAATTGTTCTTACTTTGTTGATTTTTGGTATTAGCATAGCGAGCCACGTGTTGTTTAGAAACAAAAACTTTAGCCACAGCAACGTGTGGCCGGGTCTGCTAGTAGTAGTATATAGTGAGTAGTACTACTAGTCATTAGGCGAGCCATACAGAGCAGTGTAAGGGTAATCGCAAAAAAAAAAAAAACACGTTGCTAATGTTGTTAGCGCGATTAAGGTTACCGACTTATGTGTGTTACGTCACAGGTTCATTTCTGACTGTAACGGATTCGGACGCGAACTCTGGGACCGCGTCGCTGGGGCTCTCCACCTCGTCGTCGCTGGACTCCGCCTCGGAGCTGCTGCTGGCCGCCGCCGCCGCCGTGGAGTCCGGCGGCTCGGAGGGCGAAGCGCCCGGCGAGCTGTGCCGCACCGTCAGGCACCTGATGCGGTCGATAGCCTCTATAGAGAGGCTGATGGATCGGGTGCTGAAGCACTGCGACGAGTGGCCGGCGCCGCCCAGCAGGAGCGACCAGGAGGCCAGGTGTGTGTGTGTTTTCTTTATTGCTTAGGTGGGTGGACGAGCCCACAGCCCACCTGGTATTAAGTAATTACTGGAGCCCATAGAAATCTACAACGTAAATGCGCCACCCACCTTGAGATATAAGTTATAAGGTCTCGGTATAGTTACAACGGCTGCCCCACCCTTCAAGCCGAAACGCATTACTGCTTTACGGCAGAAATAGGCGCGGTGATGGTAGCTACCCCTGCGGACTCACATGAGGTTCTACAACTAGTAAAAAACTTTGTGTGCTGCATAGTCGTCTCCAGGTGGGATGTATGACGTAAACTGCAAGTATCAGACGCCAGCTTGCATTGTCAGTGGAAGCAGAGAAAACGGTCAAAGAATGATTTCGTCATAAGGCTTGTTTGTAAAATGAATGATTTTTTATATATTTATTTGGGAAACCAACAGTAAAAAAATAAACATTTAATATTAAAAAAAAAGCTGTATGGAGGGTAGAGCTAAGGAGCATCCATCTTGTATAAAGGACAAGTTGAAAAATTGTCCGAAAGTGTTGAAAAAGTTGAAAATCTAAATGCAGGAAGCGAGTTGACCTGGGCCTCTCCGAGGTCGACCGGAAGCTGATGGCCATGTACCGAAGGCTGCCCGAGGTGCATCGGAGACAGCTGCAGGTGTACAGGAAGCAGAAAAAACTATCGACGGTAAGCGTGCAGTAGACGTTAAAGCGCGTTTCGTTTTTTTCTGAAATGTCGGCAGGCCGTGATCTGTTCTGGTCGTCTGCAGGTGTGCATGCAGCTGGTGGGAGGCCGCGCGCCCGCGCCCCCCGCGCCCTGCTCGCCCCCGCCCTCCCCCACCAACACCAGCACCGGCACCGCCAGCCGCGCGCTCTGCCCCGAGTACCATCTGCAAAGGTTCAAAGAGGTACCGGTTCTGTGACGTATCTAGCGGCGCGGCCCGTGTAGGGTCAACGACCCGCACGCCGGTTAATTGTATTCCATTGCGTGCTGTCGGAACGATTCTTGCACTGAACCGGTGATGTTGTGCCCAACTTCCAAACTGCAACACACAGACTAGTTATTCCCAACCGGTGTTTTATTTATTACTTGACAGTCGAAAGAAGGGTGTATGCGCAATTCTCTGTCAAATTACTTAGTCTAAATCTTTTGAGCGATTTCCACATTTAAGTGTCATTAGATTAGCGTCATTCTGCGAACGGTGTAAGGTATAATATTAAATATCGAGGTTCTAGTTTGGATGGGTTCGGGATTCAGGATTGCCAGGATTACATTCTGATCCCCGTTTTGATGGGAGAATATGGTCGATGCGAGAGCGGGACAGAAAGTGTTTCTGTTTCTGCGCTGTTTCCCTGTGACGTTGGCTGTGGCGAATCATTTGGTGGCGTTACGACGCCCACAGGAAGAGGCGCGGGGTGCTGTTATTCCGTTTCGTCATCCACTTCACCGATGACGCGATCTGAAGTCTAGTTCAAGGTCGTTACTATAAGGCCCGCCTTTTAATCCACATTTGACAGCTGTCAGTTTTGACAGCCGTCAATTGTGGTTCCGAAGCATTGGAATGCTGGTCCCCTAAACGTTCGCTATTCCTCGGACAGGTCCGACGGAAAGTGATGCACATGCGGGATCAGCAGCTTTACTACCACCGGCTGAGGATGTGGTTGGAGGACCAGCTCAAACAGGAGAAGGGGAGGTGGGTTGTTTATTTTATTATTATTTTCATTATTTTGTCAATTTCATTACTAAAAATATAAGAGAAGCCATGAAGTAGGTGTTTTTGAAGTGAAACTTCTTTAGGCGCGTTGAGAGTAAAATTTGACTCGCTACAGATTCGTTACGGCAAGAGAGTTAAGATACAAGTTAGGAAGAGCGAGAGTAAGAAAATAAATAGAGCGTCTCGCGAACCACTCGACCGTGGAGAGAGGGAGAGGACAAAGCGAGCTAGGTCGTCTCTCTTATACATAGCATTCCCTATTACAAGACAGATTTTAAGGATTGAAAAATGAAGAAAACAGCAATACTACACACCGCAAAAGAAGTTTCACTTCTTTCACCTGCACCAAGCTGCACGCATACATTTTTTTTTTCTAATTATCTTACAGGAAAACTCTTATACCGGAAAATTCCGGTGTGATTATCTAACCAAATAAAACCTAATATAAATTAATCCAATCAGACATACTCAAATTGCATATTGTATGATAACATGGATTTTACAATTTTTGTAATTTCATTTCAAGGTAGTAAGTATTTTTAGTATTGTAGGATTATTGCAACATTGTTTTTTATAATTGTCATCATTGAGGTAACATTTACCACGTATGTACCTTCTTGTCGATTTGACGATGTTCTGAATTGATGATCTCTTTATCGCTAAAACTAATTAAATAAATAAATAAGAGTTTATCATAGTTTGAAAAGTTAACTTGAGTTGCTCCACCGAAGCGTTAAGTGGCTATCGTTGCCCATAGATAATGTCAGGTTGTATGGCGTCGGCTATAGCTTAGCCGCAGAGCCCGGGTCTATGGTACCTACCCGCTACTGTGGACGATGTGATTAAACTCGTACGTGTTTCCCACAGTCTACCAGAGAACAACGTGACGCTGCTAGAGGAGGTGCCCCGCCGCAAGCGCCGCCCGGCCAGCCCCCGGCTGCCGCGCCTGGCCACCGCGCCGAAACGCAAACTGAAGCCGATCTCGCCATCAATCACGAAACCGAATAAAATACTCCACATGCTGAAGCACAAAAGTCCGCGCGCAATGGAACTCAAAAACGACGACGACAAAGCCACCAAGCCGGGAGCCGAGCCGCCCGACGCGTGCCCGCTCGAGAGAGAGGAGAACACCGACACCGAGACGGTTGTAGGCGAGAAGGAGACGGAGCTCTGCAAGGACATGAAGGAGTGCCTGGCCAAGTTCGCCAATTTCGCCCTTAACGATAAGGAAGCAGAGGTCAAGTTCCCCGAGTCGGTCAGCCCGCCGCTGCAGGAACCGTCGCCCACCTCGGCAGGCCCCATGCCGGTGTTCTCCTCGAAGTCGACCCAGAGGCTGCTGCCGGTCAATAAGTTTCTGCAGAAAAATGAGATTAAAGAGGACGTTGCCAACGAGAGCGCTGCGGATGTAAAGCCTCCTCCGACCGCACAGGACGTGGACGTAGCTCAGGCCGAGCCCAAACAGGACGCGGACAAAGGCGAGAGGAAATATGGAAGCTTTGGTCAGGAAATCAAGAAGGCCATGGAGGAATGTCAGAATATAATAGACTCCTACACGGGCACCGAGAATGATCCCGGCAACGATAATGTGTCCTTGGAGAAAATGTGCGAGGTCATGCTGAGGCTGAACGATGAGCCGGCGGGCGGCCCCGGCGAGGATCCCGGCGCCCACAACGCGAGGCTCGTCCAGCTGGTCGAGAGCATGCCGCAAATATTGGCCAACACACCGGCAATAGCCTGCCAACTGTCTGAGTTCACGAACTCGCCCTTCGAGATACCCGGCCTGGCCTCCATAGTCAGCAGCCTGCCGGAGCTGGGCAGCGACGCTCAGCTGACGCCGGAGACGCTCAAGCAGATACGCGAATTGAAATTGAACAAGATAAGGGACAGCGTCAAGGTCACAAAGAACACCGCCAAGCGCAAGACCACGCGTCGACTCCGGAGCGATGACGTCAGCACCCTCACCGTCGAGCTGGACGGCCGCGACATCACGCAGCTGCTCAAGGACGAGGGCGGCGTCGCCTGCCTCAAGCGCGGCGGCAGGGACGACTACAAGGAGATGCTGCTGTCGGTCTCCGCACAGTTCGTCGCCAATAATGTCTTCGAATTCGACAGCAAACAGAACAAGAGCCCCGAACCGTCCAGGGGCCTGGAGGAGAGCAGGGACCTGCTCTCGCTCCAGAAGAAGTACTTCAATTCGGAGATGCCGGCGGAAGCTACGGTGCCGTTTGGGAATTCAGTCAAGGAGGCGCTCAGCATGGACGAGCTCATGCGCGAAATGGCCAAGTCGCGGTTCAACGCCTGGAAGCAGTACGCCGCGACCAAGGTCAAGAGCATACCGGTCAGCGAGCTGCTCGCCCACGAGATCGAGAGCGTTCTGGACAAGTTCTACGGCTTCATCCAGGACTTGACGGTGAAGCAATGCGAGAACGACGCCGACAAGATAGTCGAGAAAATCGACGAGTACCGCAGGAACGCGGACATGGACGAGGACTCTGATCCGGACTCCTGTCCTGCCTCCAAGGAGTCCCTCAAGCAGATCACGAAGCTGTTGAGCACGTCCGCCGGCAACACGTTCGACTTGTTAATAATGAAGCTATCCAAGATGGCGGAGAAGGATTTCGCGGTAAAAAGTCTAAAATTCAAATATCTCGATGTCGTAAAACGGTGCTCCGAATCGGTTCAGCTCGCTGCCTGGATACAGAACGACCCGGAAACCGCCGCCAACATCATCCTGGACATGTCCGATTTGAAAGCCGAGAAGCCGGACAGCAATCCCGAGCTGAAGAACCAGACAAACAAAAAGAAGAGGCAGTACTTCCTGCAGCGCTTGAAGGCTCTGAACCGAGCCTACATGGAGTCCCTTCCGAAGGAGAGCATCACCAGCGAAGAGTGGCTCGTCATGCTGTACATGCTGGACAACTTCGAGGAGAAGATGAAGGATTCCTTCACGAAAATCAACCCACCAACGAAACCCAGTCAGAGTAACGAGGCGGAAATCGTGGCGGCCAGGGGACTGAGCAAGATAATCGGCAAGTCCAGCGCCAAGCCGCCCAGCAAAGTCGAGCCCAAACCGAAGCGAGAAGAGAAACCAGAGAAACCAGTGACGGAAGATAACAAGACTAGAAACGAAGTAGTTCTGTCGAAATGCGAAGCCGTGCTGACCACGAAGGGGGAGAAGGCTCTACTGGACAGCTTCAACACGATAAAGTCGTACATCAGCAAGGGTATACCGGTGCCGGAGAGTTACAAGCAGCACGTGGTCGCCATCTGCTCGAACGTCGACGCCAAGCTGCTGGATTGCGAACTGGTCGAGACGCTGAAGGCGGCCTTCGAGGACGGCGAGCAAATCGTCCTCGAAACTCAGAGCTCCGAGGAGCTGGCCAAGTACTCGGCTCAGGCGCTGAGGAACGCGAAGCAGACCCTCAACGCCGTCGCCTTCAAGACGATGCCCAAACCCGCGCAGAAAGCTGATGGTGAGGCCTGCGACACCCCCAGGACGGACTGTAAGTGGACGAGCGACTGCGTATGCGACACCTGCAGCCCGACCCTGGACGACACCGGCAGGAAGGCCTTCGAGAAAGCCAAGAAGTCCGTCGAGGAGTTCTTCGCTTCCAAGTACGGGAAGAAGCCGGTCGCGAAACCGCCGAAAGCCCAGCCGAAGGTCTGCGAGACGGCGAGCAGGCAGTCGCATGTTTGTAAAGGTGAGCTTTATTCTAGTGAAGCTTTATGTTCACGTATAGTTTGTGCCGGTCGTTCCTATGATCGGATCTCAGTGGCTGTTATCGGTGCCCATGGACATGACAGCATTGTCGCCTCAGATGTGTGCTTCGGCTTCCATTGTCTCCATTACGTTGTACGGGTGTGTAATTTAAGAGAATGCACTAAATTTATCGCCGGATCTCCGTAGGTCGCGATTCCGATCCGATGGTAGATTTAGCCCTTGTTAGAGCTATAGTATTAGGTAGAGTTGTTTGTGGACAGCAGCTTAGCATTAATGAGCCATGGTAACCACTTACCATCAATGGGCCGTGTTATTCTTGGCCTATAACACCACTCTTGAAGCTTTTGCCTACTAATGCCAGTCCGCTATGGGTAGAAGATATTCCTGACATATGCGATTATACAAATACTGACATTTACAACAAACTATGATTCCTTAAATGCCATATTCAGGTTTGTGTAAGAAAAAAAAAAAAAAAAAGTACACCGTGAACTATGACGTCATCGTGGTCAAATCGTGAAGCTCATTTACAATGAACGTCGTAATACGCAAGCCTCGCAATCGAACACAAGTAATTTCGTAAATTTTTTTTTTAACGTTTTCAGTTGGCCACAATGCGAACGGAAACGGAAACGGGAATTGCGCCGGTGAGGGCGCGGCCTCGGACCAGCCTTGCTCGTGCTGCTACTGCACCGTCTTCGGGCACGCGGTCAGTGCGGGAGGCGGCTCCCACGAGAATCTTGTTACCCAGAAAATATCACTTGTTGGTCTGAGCGTATGAACACCCGGTCACAGGACACCCGATCCTTTTTTTTATTGCCTTGTTGGCAGACGAGCAGACGACCCACCTGATGGGGAATGGTTAACGTCGCCCATGGACTTCAGCAATGCCAGGGGCAGAGCCAAGCCGCTGCTTACCGCTTAATACTCTCCACAAGGCTCGTTTGAAGAAGGACATGTCATAGCGCTCGGGAGACACCGTGGAGGGGAGCTCATTCTATAGCAGGATGGTCCAGGTAGTATGAATGAACTCTACTCCGGTCGCGGGCGGTGCGATGGTAAAAACAAGATGACGGTATCATTTTGAATAATTCCTCAGAGCACTCCCCATGGAACATACGGTACAAAATACAGAGGGAACCGAAGTACCTCCGCAGACCCAGAGGTTCCAAACGATCCGTCCTTGACATTGACATGTCAATGCCGCTGTTCGCCCAGAGAAACGACCTCGAAGCGACCCTCAAATCGGAAAAAAATGTCTAATTCAATTTTATTTAAGAATTTTTGTTACAGTATGTCTGTGCATATCTAAAAAAAATATTTTTTATAAACATCGCTAACTTGTGAGTAGAATCCAATTCAGTTGACGACTTTGCTAGTTCGTTATAGGTGCAAAAACTTCGGGTATTCGGATTATAGCAAGATATATTGTTTTTATAACTTTAACAATACCGGTGATTTTAATTTATATAACTAAATGACAATAAATTTGAAATTCTATTTAATTTTAATTGAATAAAAATGGAATTTCTGTTTTCTCAAATTCAGTCATTTGTTTATCGAGATTAGCATTTTGTATTTTGACTATATTTGTATAATTTTCATCAATAAAATGCGTGCTTAACTGTTTACAGCCACCATTGACGACTCCGGTCCCTCGGAATTTCAACGAAACCAGAGAAAGGCTTCGTTCTATATTGAACAAGAAGAAACAGCAATGCAAATCGAATAATGTGAGTTGAACGAGGGGCTAGTTACCTAATAATATCATTTAATTTATTTTTATTAAAAAAAAATATTAGTTAGATGAATGGACGAGCTGGTGTTAAGTGGTTACAGGAGCCCATAGACATCTATAATGTCAGTGCCGCCATTTACTTCGAGATGTGAGTTCTAAGGTCTCAGTATAGTTACAACAGCTGCTCCACCCTTCAAAACGAAACGCATTTTGCTTCACGGCAGAAATAGGTAGGGTGGTGGTACCTACCCGTGCGGACCCACAAGAGGTCCTGTAGAGGGTTGTATAATTTTTAACTAAGTCCTTTTTCTGAGATTGGTCTTTTTTGTGGGTAACATTAACCATCTCCATAGAACGAAAACGATTTTCTAAAAATAATGATAAAATGGTAAATGTGGGTATGTGTTGAGATGATCCAAGTGACTGTTCCCATTGACAGGTGGGATGGAGATAAAAATAATGAGTCTGGACAAGCTATAAGGCGTCGTTCAACGCGGCTAGATGGTACCGTATCGTTGTTGTGAACGTCTTGACAGTTCGTCTTTATTTTTCAGAGCGAATCGGACAATCCTGAGAGGAAGCAGGTCACGGGTCAGCCGCAGCCGGTCGAAACCCAAGCGGCGCCCAAACCAGCGAAGCCGGCGCAGCAGCCGACCCCAAAGCCACCCGTGAGTGTGAGACCGTCACAGGCGGACCGCTGCCGCAAACGATTTTAGCGAGAACCGTCGATATATCGACTCTGTTGATGCATATAAAGTGCGGAGCGTCGGAATACCGATTATTGTGCAGTTAGATTATAGGTATTAAGTGTCGACCTGTGCGGATGGTTAGCGCGCGCACGTATAACGTTTTTATAAGTTAATAAACCTTATTTAACTAATTTATAATTTACCAATTTAAAATTATTTTGCTGTTAATTTTGTAGCATTGATTTTTGTATTTCTACTAAGTTAATTTTTTTTAAAAGGTCCTCTGTTTTTCAAATATGCTTTAGAAATTTCTGTTAAAGTATGTCTAATTAAGTTAAGCACAAAATGAAGTTAAAAATATAGAACATTGTAACTTAAAGTCTAATGAGGCCCGGGTCGATGACCTCCTGTCACTTCGTATTGCATTGCCGTATAACTTTTATATTTCTTTACAGGCTTTACCAAAGACCCTCCCGCCGACTCTGCCCTCAGTACAAGCTCAACAGCAAAAGCGTCAAGCCGTCGAAGCTCAGCAAAAAGCTCTGACCGAGAAAATGGCGAAGATCACCGTCGACGAACAACCCGTGGTCAGGCCAAAGGTGAATAGGCGTTAGTTCTACAGAATCTACGAAGCATTGATGGTCCATCTGATGGGAGTTCCCCCGGGAGACCGGCCGGAGGGCCCCACCGCATTTCCTTTTGAGGGAAGGGACAGCCCATACTTAAAATTTAGACATAAGGTCTAAAATCAAACGGGTCGTGAGCTTGCATTGTGTTTAGTTCTTAATTTGTAAAAACCACTACCATTCTTTGTCGAGAAATATGTTCTTACATTTGTGGGGGTAGCAGCTTACATTCGTATTCCAAACTTGATTTTAATATATAAGATAAATTTCGGTATTTATTATGTGTATATGTATATATTTAAACATAAGTGTGGAAATCAGTCTCTGGTTTCCATGGTAAGGGATCCTATATATGGGACGCGGATTGTATATTATTACTAGCCGTACTCGCCCGCTTCGCTGGGTACTTTTATTTATTGTCATTATTATTAGGGAGTCCAACACTCATATAAATATTAGCCTATCCATTAAGTACATGTATTTTCTACATGGATACCAAGTTTCAAGTCAATCGGATTCATGGTTCAGTAGTTATAACAGAGCATCCGTAAAAACCGAAGTAGTTTTTTTTTATTTTTATTTTTTATTTTTTTTTTATTGCTTAGGTGGGTGGACGAGCTCACAGCCCACCTGGTGTTAAGTGGTTACTGGAGCCCATAGACCTCTACAACGTAAATGCGCCACCCACCTTGAGATATAAGTTCTTAGGTCTCAAGTAAGTTACAACGGCTGCCCCACCCTTCAAACCGAAACGCATTATTGCTTCACGGCAGAAATAGGCAGGGTGGTGGTACCCACCCTCGCGGACTCACAAGAGGTCCTACCACCAGTAATAAATATATTATATAGATTTATAGATTAGTATAGATTACATTAAATGTTCACAGGTGAATCCCCCGATTGCTGTTAACACGGAAGGAAAGGTCAACCCTAACGCCATGGAACAGATCCGATTGCAGGTGAGGAACGCTTGTAATTAAAAGTAAGCTGCAAACAGAATTTTTTGGTGGGACGCGAGGAGTGAAGTTGTGTGATTTGTTTTATTTTGTCTATTTAGTGTTTCTTCAGGTTTAAATGTGTAATAATGGTGGTTTATTAACTGTTTATTAATCTGTGAAAGTGCGCAAATGTGGGAAAATAAAACAAAGCCACTGGACGTAACTTTTCGGGATCCTCCAAAAAGTCTACTGAAAAAATCTTAGTAAATGACCACCATTTTACTGCGATTATATTTCATCCCATATCATCTCATCTCATTTCATTTAATTTCATCCCAGTTGATTAATGTCTCAAATTAATCATCTTCATTTCATTTCACTCCATAATATAATTTTTCATAAAAATATGAATATAAATTAAAATAAGATATGACTTAAAGGTCTTAGTTACCAGGTCATAAAATCCCTTAAAATAAAATAAGCTGCAATCAGACCAGTACGAGTACTGGAGCTTAAGCGATGCTGCCCATGGACATCACAAGGCATTGGTTGCTTGACACGGCAGGCAGTTCGTAGTGTAACTTGTATTTCTCATTGACAGCAACTGAAGCAGCACGCCCAGCACCCGCCAGCGCAGCAGAGCAAGCCGGAGCCCATTTACGATCTGCCGATACACAACAGGCTAACGCTGACCCCGCAGCAGCAGCAGCAGATCCGGCAGCAGCAACAGGTCTCGGTTTGATTTTCGAACGTTAACAGGAGTCGGAGCCAGGGTGCTCAGATCTGGTCTTGCACAGACGAGGGATCGAGGTGTCTATCGCGTCACGCAGACACCCACCTTGAGGCTTGAGGCTTATGTCTCAATTGCACAGTGATTACGTGTATTGCAATTCCGAATACGGATATTAATGTAATAGCTCAAAATAAATAACATTTTTTTACTGGTGGTAGTCCGCGCGGGTAGGTACCACCACCTCGCCTATTTCTGCCGTGAAGCAGTAATGCGTTTCGGGTTGAAAGGCGGGGCAACCGTTGTAACTATACTGAATATAACTGAGACCTTAGAACTCATATCTCAAGGTGGGTGGCGCATTTACGTCGTAGATGTCTATGGGCTCCAGTAACTACTCCACTTAACACTAGGTGGGCTGTGAGCTCGTACACCCAACTAAGCAATAAAAAAAAAATATCAAAAGGACAATGCCCATTTCCTTAGGGCGTTTGGGCCCCTAAAAAAGTTGTCAGGTCATGGTGGTTTTAACTTAATTTGATAGACAGAAATATCGTTTCATATTCAGAAAACGATTTTTATATTCTCAGCCAGGTTTAAGAGAAATCTGTTATTTTTCTGCAGCTAAAATTAAGTTGTTAATTGTTTTCTTCGAAATCAATAATCGCTCTCATCATTATTTACAGTATTAAATAAGTTAATTGTGGTTAATGTTGCTAGAAATAAGCCCTTACGTACATTTTATTATTATTATATCCTCATAATAATAATTAAATGAAATGAAAATCCGGAAACCGGCAACGATATTGTTGTTGTTGTTTTTAAATTCGCCAATAAGCAGGCAAAGAGCGTAGCCTATACAGCCTAGTCTGTCGTAGTTATATATATATTTTTTTTCATATGGTGTATCTCATTTTATTGCTTTTGGGAGTTTTGACGTCAACTCGAGGAATAGCACATTGAGTGAGCGTGAATATCCGCAGACGTTTTGTCTTGAAAAAAAAAAAAAAACAGTCACTGCTATGTTAGCCACAGTTTTATTCCAATGCCTCAATAATTGTGAACAACGATTATTGGCGTTTAATACACAAAACAACACCCAATTTATATATTATACATCACAATAAACTATTAAAAAAACATTAAAATAAAACTTCAAGTGACGCTTCACTCGGGTTGCTGCCAAAACTCTCTGATCATATATAATAAGAATAGAGTAATGGTAGGCCATTGAGATTTTTACTAATGGAATCAATAATATCCAAAAAATATTAAATAATTCATGGTTTTAAGTAATAATTATTATTACAATATATAAATATTGAATTGAACAAAAATAAACTAAAAAGTCTGTGAATTATAACCATTAGCTATTTTTTTTAATTTGTTGTTCAAGTCACAGACAACTCTTTCGTTTGGCAGCTTAAAGGTTTACTATAAGGCTTTATGGGTTAAGCCCTTTGCCTATTGGCGAATTTAAAAACTATGGCACTCAGTTTTGGGATGTTATCAAATAAGTAATTTATTTTTATGTAAAACAATGCCAGGTTGAAAGAAATGTTGATACATAAACTAAACAACATGAAAAAATAAGGCATAGTTTTTCAAGTACAAATAGTTTTGACATAAAGTTGGCCCACTTTTGGGTATTGTCTTTTATTATACTAGAGGTCCCGCAGTAGTCGAAATTCGACTATAATTAATTGGAATTGTAAGTTTGTACACTATTATGATTCTATTTTATACTTCTATAATCACAAATTTCGCGAAGACTACAATATAAAAAATATTAACAAAGACAAACAATATTTAATCTATTCTCAATTTGACAACAGACGTCAAGAACAAAAGTTTGACAATAAATAGTATGCATGCGTGTGTGCGTTAAATACATGGTATGTAGTGTGTGTAATGTTTTCTTTATTGATTTAATGTATCTTTTATGCATTATTTAAAAAAAATATAAGCATTGTGCACTTATTCTCTATATTCTCTATAAGTGTGGAAAATTTCATCCTCCTCCGTCCGCGCAATTTTCGTAAAAAGGGATACAAAGTTTTTGCTTCACGTATTAATATATAGATTAAGCACACGTCGTAAAATGTTCGCACTTCTGATGCCCGATCGCCATCTTAAAACCATCTCTCTTCCGTCCCTTTCTTCCTCGTACATTCATCACTTTCGCTCTAAACGCTCCGTTTCCCACATTAATATATATCCTTAGGAATGAATTCGTATGAATACCACGATATGGTTCACCGGTGTAATGCCTAGAATAATCCGCCGGTCATCATCCGTGAATCGAAATTGAGCTAAACGGTCAAGGGGGGGGGGGAGGTATGTGGTGCTCTAAACCTGACGGCCCGTTGTCGTTTCCTGTCCAGCTCCAGCAGCAGCAGCTACAGATGCAGCAGCAGCTCGCGGCGCAGCAGCGGCAGCACGGCGCCGTGTCGCTGTCCAGTCGGGACACGAGCGTCTTCTCCACGTCCTCGGGCTGCTCCGGGTGAGTTGCTCGCCATTATACCGAGCCCGTGCTTTGCCGTAGAGGAGGCCACGACCCTCAGCACTGAGGATTATCGACGCAAGGAGGAGAGGTCCTTTGAGTGGTACCATGGCTTTTTTTTATTGCTTAGATGGGTGGACGAGCTCACAGCCCACCTGGTGTTAGGTGGTTAATGGAGCCCATAGACATCTACAACGTAAATGCGCCACCCACCTTGAGATACAAGTTCTAAGGTCTCAGTATAGTTACAACGGCTGCCCCACCCTTCAAACCGAAACGCGTTACTGCTTCACGGCAGAAATAGGCAGGGTGGTGGTACCTACCCGTGCGGACTCACAATAGGTCCTACCGCCAGTAAAAAATTGATTTGATTTGAACACCCTGTATATGTCATACTGTGTGAATTCCAGAGGGTCGTGCTGGCGCGAGTCCCGGCCTGAGGACACCCGGGACCTGGACGCGCTGCTGCAGTACATCGAGGGTCCGAGCAGGAACGTGGACAGGGGGAAGAAGCGAGCCAAGAAGCAACGGCAAAAAACGAAAAAGGTACTTTTGGTCTGTACCAGCAGTCGGGGAGCCGGGTTAAATTACCCCAAATGGGATAAAATGAAACTTTTGTGAGTAAAAAGTATATATTGAAGTGAAACTTCTTTAGAATCTTTGTGATTTCGAACTCGATGGAACGAAATGAAACGTAACGAAAAAAAATTTTTTTTTTTTTTCGAATTTATCATGGGAGCTATACATATGAAAGATACTAAAAAGAAGCGATTTCGTTTTTTTTTTGTTCTTCGCCATGAGGTGATATCAACTTACACAAAATTATTTTGGGGTAATAATTAAAAAAGTTCCCCGACCGCTGGTCTATACTGTCCAGGGTTGGTATACTGTTAGTCAAAGAGTCGATAACCCGCGGTTCTTTGACTCTGGCTCTTCCGCTAAATGTTTAGTTCACGAAATAGTACTTATATATAGTAAGGGACGAGTAGTATATGTATATAACATCAAAACTAACTGCCCACCTAATAAACTAATTCATGCAAATGTTATCTTAACACACTGAAGGCTATATGAAAATTGGAGTGTGTTCATTCAGGCCGCGTTGCTCACCCGTAAGCCTTATCTTACTGAACCTGTTGGGCCATGAGAGTCACCCGTGAGCCTTTTCAAATATCTAAAGTAGAGTGTGATAATTGATAAAGATCCCATAGACACGGCCCACTGAGTTTCTCGCCGGATCCTTGCAGCGGGTCGCAATTCCGATCCGGTGGTAGATTCAGCGAAACTCTGCCCTTGCTAGGGCCAGTGTTAACAACGACGTCAGGCTTGAGCCCCGTAAGCTCACCTACACGTCAAGAACAAGCTGAAATAGCCTCTCAAGGCTATCACCGTAGGTAGGAAAAAAAAGTAAACATTTTTCAAACACAAGCCTATAAGAAACAATAATTGTGTTATCTATATTTGACTTTTTTTGGTCAACAAGCCGGACACAGTCGTATCATATTTACAAAATTTGAATTTGTAGTTATAAACCTATATATAGTAAAATATTGCATTTGAAAGATTTGATTTAAACACGTGTAATTGTATTTAAATTTGCTTAAGTAGTAGTTTATTATTTACTATTTTATTTTTGTTTATTTATTTATGTTTTATAACAAAACCAGTTTTTAAAGCTTTAAAATATGCCCATCTACTATTCCGATACATTAGAAAGTCACACATCTATGTATGAATGACACGTTTTTCTGGTGGTAGGACCTCTTGTGAGTCCGCACGGGTAGGTACCACCACCCTGCCTATTTCTACCGTGAAGTAGTAACGCGTTTCGATTTGAAGGGCAGCCGTTGTAATTATACCAAGACAACTCATATCTCAAGGTGGGCGGCGGTATTTACGTCGTATATGTCCATGGTCTCCGGTACCCACTTAACACCAGGCGGGCTGTGAGCTCGTCTACCCATTTAAGTAATAATTTTTTGTTGTTGTAAATTTCAGTTGGAGACTCGTCTGATGGAGGAGCAGGCCCGGCTGCACTTCGCGTACTCGTACACGTGCGGCGAGCGCGACGGGCTCAGCGTGTCGCTCGCCACCGCCGCCGAGCACGTGCGCGACGCGCGCCGCGCCCTGCAGCACTACCACTCCGTGCGCAGGAAGGGTACGGGACCCGCACACCCTCCACTAGCGAGCGGACCGGCCAGACAGACGGCCCACCTGATGGTGAGTGGTTACCGTCGCCCATGGACTTCAGCAATGCCAGGGGCAGAGCCAAGCCTCTGCCTACCGTTAAGTACTCTCCACAAGCCTCGTTTGAAGAAGGACATGTCATAGCGGTCGGGAGACACCGTGGAGGGGAGCTCATGGCACTGTGTGGCGGGTACCCATCACAGAACACAACGCCTGAATCTCGCTTAGATGAGCTCGCATGTATACAAGTTTTGAACAACAGCATTCATACATACCCAATCCCGTGAAACGAACTTTTTTGTTTCTACCTAAGCTGATGGTCTCGAGAGACCATATCCACCAGTACTCTTAGGTGACGATTAGGAATAGACGGTCAGGAATAGGGTTCTTGGATGCCAAGTTTAGTTTATTTGTTGATCTAAAGGGTATCTTAGAGAATTCGCTGTGTAATGGTTATCCCCCCTACGAATTGGAACACTGATCTGTTTCATGCAGAATTATGTGGGTTCAACTCATCCGTGTAGCAGCACCACACTAAACCGCGCTCGATCGCAAAACGCCATCGCCCATTCGAATCTCCAGTCGCTTTAAGACTCCCAGGAGGTCTTCCCCTGGGGGGTGTGCTCTTCTAGGACCTGCTCCCGTCTAATACAAGTTAAGGTCACAAGATGAGGTCACCTGGTATTCTCATCCTGTGACGTAATCTGAAGCTATATCACGTTTCAGGTAAGAAACAGAAGATCAATCCGGCCCATCAGGCGAAGATGCAACTGGTCACTGAAAAAATCGGGGAGCTCACCACCGTCATGAACACGACTGCTAAGGTACTGTCGAGGGACCGGCCTGCGCGGGGACTGCTCCTCCTCAGGTGTTGGAACCTCTGGGTCTGCGGAGGAACTTCGGTTACCTCACTATTTTGTACCGTATATGGGGAGTGCTCTGAGGAATTGTTTGAGATGATCTCCTCATCCCCTTTTTATCATCGCACCTCCCGCCATCGGAGCAGAGTTCATCCATATTATCTGGGACCACTACGTTCATCGACAGTGCATTTCCAGAGGTCTTTTTGTCACGTACCATCCGGCTTTGGAATGAGCTCCCCTCCACGGTGTTTCCCGACCGCTATGACATGTCCTTCTTCAAACGAGCCTTGTGGAGAGTATTAAGCGGTAGGCAGCGACTTGGCTCTGCCTTGGCATTGCTGAAGTCCATGGCCGGCGGTAACTACTCACCATCAGGTGGGTCGTATGCTCGTCTGCCTACGAGGGCAATAAAAATAAGACTGAGCGCAACTTCATTGCGTGACGTCATTTGAGGTCACGCAATTTAAACGTGGAATTAACTGCAGTTCGTAATCTAATTACACAATGAATTTATATATATGAGTCTCGGAATAGGTGGTGGAATTAACGTTGTAATGTCCATGGACATCTGTAAGAATGCCTTTAAACTGTGCGACAATTTTTATTGATTGAATATAGAATCTTTTAAGAGGAGTATTCGCACGGAGATCCATGACGCGTGTGGTGTGTGCAGGAGCTGCGCGTGGCAGAGAAGAAGATGTCGGAGTACAGCCTCAAGCTGGAGCAGTGCGAGCGGCAGCTGGCAGAGGTGCGGGCCCTCGCGCCCCCCCAGCCCCAGGTACGACCCCCCCCAACCCCCCACTCCACTCGTCCGTTCCATTACCGTCTCACAACTACCGTCTATTAACTTCATACGAGTTTGAGTTAACTTTTACGTTATCGAGAACGTTAAAATACTCTCATTAAGCACACTGATCGTGTACTCGACTATTGGCAAAATAAAATTTTGTAATAATGGGCACACGTCTATATCTATATGCAGACGCGAGATAAGCGATAACTACGAGATATAGCAAAATTTCGAAATTTGGTCGTTGCAAATGAAGGACACCGACTGCGGATGGAAACGATAAGAAGCGGCACTTCTGCGGTGAAGGAAGGACGCACAATATCTTTATGTAGTCTTTACTGCAGGCTCGTACCGATAGGCGATGGGAAATACCAACAATTTATTTTATATTTTAACTTATTTACGTATATATTACCACAAAGACACGAAGCGCGCGCGCGGTTGTTCAGCCATTACATTTCTTCTCGAGTCGATGTCGCTACACGATCTCGCTCGCACGCGTCGGTATGTAAAGTGCGGGAGAGGGATGGGAGAGGATTTGCAAAACCAAATTAAATGTTGCTATTTTTCGAAACCTAAAAACTAACAGTTTTAAACCAGCGCAACCACTATACTAATATATAAATCTACGGTGGTTTTTACGGATGTTCCGTTATAACTACTGAACCGTGCATCCGATTGACTTGAAACTTGGTATCCATGTAGAATATACATGTACTTAATGGATAGGCTGATATTTATATGAGTTTTGGACTTCCTAATAATAATGACAATAAATAATAATGTTAATTATAAAATCCCAGCGAAGCGGGCGAGTACGGCTAGTATATATATATAAGGTTTCTTAATGTCTAAATAATAATAAATGTGGTGCAACATCACATGTGCAATCCTCAGCAGTGAGGGAATGATGAAGAAGAAGAATTTTGGAATTTTGGACCGTCGGTCTACCGAGCAATATCACTCGCTCGGTTTACTGCTGGTAAGACGTGTTGTGAGTCCGCGCAAGTGGGTACCACCGCCCTGCCTATTTCTGCCGTGAAGCAGTAATGCGTTTCGGCTTGAAGGGCTACGCAGTCGTTGTAACTATACTGAGACCTTAGAGCTTATATCTCAAGGTGAGTGGCGCATTTACGTCGTAGATGTCTATGGGCCCCAGTAACCACTTAACGCCAGGTGGGCTATGAGCTCGTCTACCAATCTAAGCCATAAAAAGAAAAGAATGTCGAAAATTCATTCGTTTCGCCTGTACATATATTCGTCACGATAAAAGCGCAGTGTGTTGCTTCCAGGACGAAGAGACCCTCGCGGCGCAGAAGCAGCAGCAGCTCCAGCTGGAGAGGCAGCTGCAGCTCAAGGAACTGGAGAGGCAGATGAGCGAGAAGCAGAAGCAGAACGACGCCTACATCAGTGAGCTGATTTTGTTAAACTATGAGTCTATTGCAGTGATTCTCAACCACTGTTCCGCGGCACTTTTGTGTGCCGCCAAATTTTGCGAATATATAATAATGTTAATATTATTAAATTATATCATTTTAAAAGAAAAAATATTTTAAACATGAATATATATTTAAATCCACAAAAGAAAATTATAGTATATTTTAGTTTATTTCGTATATTAAATTTTTTTTATAAACTATTTATGCAGTGTGTTGTAGTAAGTAAATAATTTTTATCTTTTTTTTTGTGTGCCGCCAAATCTTGAAATCGTAAATATGTGCCGCAACAAAAAAAAGGTTGAGAATCACTGGTCTATTGTATCCGAATTGGTGACCGCGATAGAGGAACTATATCAACGCTTGAAAGGCAAACGTGACTAAGCGACAATGCGTGAACTTTACAGTAGACTAATTTAAAGTTGAAATACCTGAAAACAAAATCTATTTTAACGAATCTAGCTGTAGGATTGAAATGATTTTGATGGACCTAGAAATATATTTTTTTGCGCATCGAATATGGTTATTGTCTATCATTTATATACAAAGCAGTTATTGTCGCTTAGTCACGTTAGCCTTTCAAGCGTCGATATGATATCAGTAAAAAAAACACATTTAAATGTTTTTTTGAAGTGAAACTTCTTTAGAATCGTGATTTCAAACTCTATGAAACGAAAAAATAAGTCCATAGAGACACAAACACATAAATGTATAGGATTCAGCCGGCGAGAGAATGAGATAGAACACATTAGATGTTCTCAGTGCAGTTTTTTTTTAATACAGCGCCATCTATGGGATTTTTTAAAACTAACGTGCGTATGAAAGCTCTTGTAGTGAATTTTAATTTAGGATTATACGTAAAGTTAAAATATCATTTCACAGAGGGCGCTACCTCATACTATAAAAAATTATTTACAATAATTATTTATTAATGACAAATTTTTACATATACTTAGAAATTTAGGATAATTGTATTTTATTTTTTGAAGATTTCACTTCTACCACGTGTGTATTGCAGACATGTATTTTTTTTGTAATGAAACTCCTTTAGACGGTTTGATATGACATAGTATATTTAAATCAGAGACGAATGTTAATAGACATGATTTATTACAGAGATATATTATACGACATGTTTTTTTTTATATAAATGAAATTAAAAATATAATCGAAATAGTATATAGCTCTCTATATAAGAGACCGTCAGCGCAAAAGTGGCCTAACCCACAATTCATATTCGTGCTTATATATTGCAATTTATTTAAAACGTAATAAATTTTGATGCCAAATCGGCCTATCCCTAGTTTCATCCGTAGATAACAGATGCCTTTGTAAATATCATTTTAGCGCGTATTTTTTTTCCTAAGGTAAATTCGAACCTCATTACTAACTATACTAACTATGGTAAGCTTAGGCTACTTTTACGCTGACGGCCTCACATATTAAAGTGTTGTTTAAAAAGTTGGATTCTTGCTCATTACCTCCCCCTGGGGCATGTTGCAGAGGCGGCGGGGGCGGTCGGCGGGGGCGGGGGCGTGGTGTGCGTGCGGCGGTCCCCGGGCGACGGCGCCGTCACCCTCACCGTGCCCGCCGGTCACTCCGCACCGCACCGAACCACCCGTGGGTTACATTCTATTTTATTAATACACTTTTATTGGCTTTAGACGTATGTATGTAACAGACGTATGTAACAGAATCTTTGAACATGAATTTGACCCCCTTCAAAACGAAGGATTAACTCGAAATTTAGTATAGTCATTAAGGATTGATGACATTTCAATATAAAAAAAAAGTTAAAAAAAATTTTGAAAAAATTGAAATTCAACTAAAAAATGAAAATTAAATAATAGTTTAAAAAAACTAACAAAATACGTTTTTATAGAAAATCCAACTAAAAAAGTAAAAATCATTATAATGCCTGACCGTTCTTACCATAGGGTTGCAGTATGATATAATTTAATTTTGTTATATTATGCCCGTAACGCAAAGAGGTTTACCGAATGAGAATTTGGGGCTCTGAAGTGAAGTGTTTATAGAAATGTTATATAAATAATCTATATATATATATAAATATATTGCTGTTCGTTAGTCTCGCTAAAACTCGAGAACGGGTGGACCGATTTGGCTAATTTTGGTCTTGAATTATTTGTGGAAGTCCAGAGAAGGTTTAAATATGAAAATGCTCGAAATTAAATAAAAATGACAATTTGGTTTTTCCTTTTATGTATCCCCCGTCGGACTGATTTCTTTTGTTTGTTTTAAGTTTATTTTATACAAAAGTTTAGGTCTTTTATTTATCGATTGAGGCACTACGAAGTCTGCCGGGTCTGCTAGTAAATAGATAGAAATATATAAATATTAGATAGCTTCGTTTTCAAAAAGTGATTGATGGTCTTGTCTACAGCAGCGCAGGTCCGGACCGAGCCGCCGGGGCGCGCGCCCGAACCGAAGCAGGCGCCGAAGCCCGAGGGGCACCGCAAGTTGACCTGGGAGCAGGCCATAGCGCAGATGAACCAAGTGGCCAAGGGCTCCAACAAGGAGAAGGCAAGTAGTCTTGCGAGCGATCATGCTCAACTCATTTAGTGCTGAGAGATAGATGGAGGGAGGGAAGGGGAGAGGGAGAGGGAGAGGGAGAGGGAGAGGGAGAGGGAGAGGGAGAGGGAGAGGGAGAGGGAGAGGGAGAGGGAGAGGGAGAGGGAGAGAGAGAGGGAGAGGGAGAGGGAGAGGGAGAGGGAGAGAGAGAGAGAGAGAGAGAGAGAGAGAGAGTTCGCGATCAAAGGATTAATAAAATACGTACTTAATTCATTTAAGAATTTTATTTCGAAGTCAGGTGGGTGCCGCGACCCCGCCCATTTTTGCCGCATTATAGTCAAGCTTTCTGGTTTAAATGGTGGAACAGGCCGTTGAGTAGTCCACCGCGTCAAATGAACCGCTATACGCAACGTAGCAACATTCCAATTATGTACTTATTAATTTATTTGCAGAAGAAGAACAAAGAATCTCAGCTGAGCAAACAGGAGAGAGCGAAGGAAGAACAGAAACCCGATAGGCTGGCGGACACGCAGCCGCTCTCTAAGAAGCAGAGGAGACTGTTGGCCAAGCAGCAGGTGGGTCTCGTAGAAATAGGCAGGGTGGTGGAACCTACCCGTGCTGGCTTATAAGACACCCAACCACCACTAAAGTCTACATATGTACCAACAAAATCGTTGATAAAAGTGACCTTCTATATTGACTTCCAGGTTGAGGAAGAAGAAAGGAAGGCTCTGCAGCAGAAACAACTCCAAGCCCAAAAAGAAGCGAAGGGCAAAAAGGGTGAAACGAGAAAGTCTGAAGCGCCCAAGCACGAGGATAAGAAGCCAGAGAAGAAACAGGAGCCGGTCAAGAAGAAGGAAGAAAAGAAAGAGAAGAAACAACAGAGGGATGCGGAAAAGAATAGAGATAGACAAGAGAAAAGTTAGTATAGCTTAAGTTAGATTCTTGTTAGGCTAGCGGTAGGCGGCGGCTTGGTGATCGCTCACCCGCCATGTAGTCACTTATGGTGGAACGAGCCTATGCACACAGTACATTTGAGCTTTCAACTTGAATCTTTATGATTTGTATACTTCAATATATATCTGGTGAGGTAGGGCGAAATATAGTGGCTTTTTAGTTTAATACCAAAATCTTTTATTTTCCAAAAAAAAAAACTCGCGTAACATCGTCATGTCAATCGATGACTGTCATTTATCTTATTTCTTATGCTAAAATAGTTCTAGTGTGCCAGTTCGAACCTAATTAAAAAGTACCGATCTTCCAATATAGTATATGTATGCAAAGAAATACCTTTATTATTTAAAATTTTAGTTTATTTATAGGATTTTTCTTCAATATCATTGAGTAAAAAAAGAGAGTTCAGATTTGTGTAGTTTATTAATACAGTTCACTGTTTAATGTTTATTGTTGTATTGTTTGATTAATATTGTTTGTGTAAAGTGTATTCTTGGCGAAATCTGTGTTTATAGAAGTACTAGCGACCCGCCCTCGCTTCGCTTCGGAAACATCAAAACACACATGAAACCAAAAAAAAAAAAAAAAGTAGCCTATGTTCATCAGGGACAATGTCGGCTTCTAATGGAAAAATAATTTTTTAAATCGGTCCAGTAGTTTCGGAGCCTATTCGAAACAAACAAACAAACAAATCTTTTTCTTTTTATTAGCATAGATAATAATAGTCTTTGACAATAAAACCATAGTAATGTTCAAAGTTATAATTTCAATTAATTATAGTCGATTTTTTGTTATTGCTTAGATGTGTGGACGGGCTAACAGGCCACCTGGTGTTAAGTGGTTACTGGAGCCCGTAGACATCTACAACGTAAATGCGCCACCCACCTTGAGATATAAGTTCTAAGGTCTCAGTATAGTTACAACGGCTACCCCACCCTTCAAACCAAGACTACTAGGCGTACACTAGTATAACAGAAAACTCAATTAAGTATTTTATTGTTTATTCATTCTGAAGTAGCTACTCCATATGATTAAATGTATACTCGAGTTGCTCATCGGTGCTGCTTGTGTTCTCACTTGGGTCATTGAATGTGGTGCGTTTGTTCCGAAGCTCCGGCCCCACAGCCGTCCAAGGTCAACAACAAGCAAAAGGCTGCCACGCAACCAGCGCCGCAGGGCAGCAACAAGAAGGAAACTAAGAAGAGGGAGCAGCAAACACAGCAGCAGCCGAGGCAGCAAGTCATCAACATCACCGCTCACACAACGATAGAGGCTGTTAATAAGAAGGTGGGTCTTTTATATTGCATGAGGACTCGTGAGCATTTACGTGTCTTGAACATATATGCCACTATGTTTGGCGAGTGCTACATGTTTTAGTCAGAGCAGCGTCAGAATTTCATCAAATATTCCATGAGCATTCGTGAGCTTAAACCACGTCATGTGAATAAAATTTTAATTGGGTCAGCGTTAGCATTTGTATATGGCGTCAGCGTCAACGTACGTGAGTATTTATGAGCATTACGCTTATCACCATGGGTCCTGTTCCACAGGTGATGGCTGCATCGGAGCTGGAGAAGCCGCCGTCGTGCAGCATCATGGACCAGCTGAGCAGCGGAGTGCAGGTGAATAAACATGCTCCGGTAAACACTTAACAACAACTGGGCTGTGAGGTCGTCCACCCATGTAGGCAATAAAAATAAATAAAAAGAATACGACGCAGACAGGATGATGTATTACTGTACAAGTGTATAGTATCTAATAATAAATAAATAATTAAAAAGCGTACGTATATTTCAACTTATCTTTGTCGGAACTTACTCTGAGAGACAAAATAATAATAACCAAAAGCAGAAATACGCTAAATATCCATATACTAATATTATAAAGAGGAAATATTTGTTTGTTTGTTTGTTTGTATTGAATAGGCTCCGAAACTACTGAACAGATTTGAAAAATTCTTTTACTGTTTGGAAGGTAAACTATTCCCAAGTGATATAGGCTATAATCTTTTTTGAAAAAAATTAGGGATCCTTACTAAAACTCCAATAATGTAAACTCAAGATGTAAAAAATTACCTAAAATATTCTTTACATCGCGTGCCCTGCGAAAACTATTGATGATAGAATAAAATAATGTACTACGACTTTGTAGACAAAATTTTACATGTTGTTATTTACAAAAAGTATTGCGACAGCGTATCTCTAACTATTATAGTTATGCCGCAATAAGTGTTCTTTTATTTAAAAAAATAAAACAACGTCAAATATCGTTGCAATTTTTGTTAAAGACCCGAGCGGAGCCGGCCGCTAGTAGTATAATATATATATTATTTTATATTATTATATATTATTATATATTATTTTATTTGTATCAAAATACAGTTTAGCTTTGAAAAACTATAGCAATTGAGTTGCTCTTATAAAGAGAAACAACATTTAAAGCTATTGCTTCACCATTATTTTTATATCTTTTTATATTTTAATATTGCAAAAATGCTCTTTATATGTCTAATGTTCTAATGTTTCAATAATCGAAATTCTATTTATGTCATCTATAGAAGAATGATATAAATAACATATTAACCTCTTTAAGGATTAATCATATAGAAGTTACATATATATAAATATATTATGATATTTTAAAACGAACTGTATCCGCTATATTTTGTTGGCCAAGTCCGTGGGCATCACACGGCCAATTTCATTATTCACTTTGTCATCTATGAGGCTTAATTCTTAACTCTGCCAATTGAATATCATTTCAGGTTGCCGATCTGAAGCTCCCTCCCGGCATAACCCTGACGCGCGTCCAGCCCAGCGAGAAAAGAGAACCCACTCCCATCAAATCTGTGGTGAGTCAACGCAAGGGGCAGACTCGGGACGTCTGCCGTGCTGACCTCGGACCATACTCTTCGACTATAACTGCCCGACGTGAGCCTTGAAGGGCCTCATGTGGCCCAGGGACATCACAAAGCCACCGCTGCACTAACTTGAAGACATGTCGCAGTATAGGCATAAAGGATTGCCTGTATCTCTCCATAGTCCTTAAACTGTCTATCAATCTATTGATCCGTGTTTTTATCACAGTAGATATATCGCTAACAACTGCCCGAGCGCCTCCGAAGGAGACCAAACAAGAGCAGCTGCTTCGCGAATGAATCTACGAAAGCAATTGCTCTTGATTTGTTAGGTCTCCTTCGGAGGCGCTCGGGCAGTTGTTAGCAAATCCCACCCCTCCTAGCTGAGCTTTTGCTCACCCACCTGTCCTGGTGAAACTGGAAAGGCATTCGGACCACCACTAATCTTTCAATCAAAAAAAAAAGAAGTAGATATATCAGTAGATATAACAAACATACAATAAAAAAAAGAAGTAGATATAACAAACATTCACCCATCTATCCAAGAGAGCACTGACCTGGAAAGTCAGTGGTGGGCAGTGGTTTAGCTCTGCCCCTGGCATTGCTGAAGTCCATGGGCGACGGTAACCATTCACCATCGACCGATGTAAATGGATGGATTTGATTCGAGTCCTACACCCCAGCAAAGGGTAACGGGAAAGAATGAAGAAGAAGACATCCATACATTCTTACAGACTTTCGCGTTTATAATATTAGTAGAATGTTTCACGTTTGAAAAATTAATTAAAACCAATCTATTGTTACACTCAAATAATGGTCAGTCGGTCTAATGCCTGATGGTCTGATGATTACCAGCTCGGAGCGAGATCTTTCCTTTATTGGCATCTCAGAATTGACATTACAATATATACAATATATAACTGTCCTGTCTATTTCTGCTGTGAAGCAGTTTCGCTTTGAAAGCTGGGGTGAGTAGCCGTTGTACTTTAAAAACTAAGACCTAAGAACTCATGTCTCAAGGTGGGTGGCGGCATTTACGTTGTAGATGTCTACGGGCTCCGGTAACCACTTAACTCCAGGTGGGCTGTGAGCTCGTCCACCCATTTAAACAATTAAGTTAGCATTTCCTTTGTCAATTCCAGCCGCTGTGGAAAGGAAGTCAGCTGGCCGCCACGCCCACGCCCATCGCCCGCCCGCCGCCCCTCATCACCGCGGACCCGTCGCTCATGATGTTCTCCACTAGCCAACCAGGTAACAACGCCTAATGGTGTCGACCCATGAGCCAATAAAACCCATAATCTATACTAACATATAAATCTACAGTGGTTTTTACGGATGTTCCGTTATAACTACTGAACCATGCATCCGATTGATTTGAAACTTGGTATGCATGTAGAAAATACATACTTACTTAATGGATAGGCTAATATTTATATGAGTGTTGGATTCCCTACACCAGTTGCGGGGGCGTTAATGATGAGAATCTTTGTGGGGGTGAGAAATAATAATGTTAATTTTAAATGCTCAGCGAAGCCGACCGGTACAGCTAGTAATATATGTAGATTATCCAATACTCTTCTATTATATCGAAGGGTGAAAGGCTGGTTTAAGCGACATTTATCTTTGTAATTAAAGGTGAGTTTTATTCGGTATCAGAATCAACAGTTCAATGTTTTTAATTTAATTTTAATTAATGCTTACTATATTAGAATAGTCGACGAAAGTTTTTGTGTAACGATATTTTTTCATAATTTTACTTTATACGACTCTAATGGAAAATTGTAAAAATGTCATTTAATCCAGCTTTCCTTTCAGCCTTCGATATAACAAACAAAACTTTGTATGTCAAGTCACTGATCAACAATATGTCACTGAACTCCTCCTAAACGGCTGGACCGTTTTGAATGATTTTTTTGTATGCATTTGTGTGGCGCCCTGGATGGCTTAGATTCACTAATCAGCCCGTCAGACGGCGCTGCAGTCGGTATCTAGGTTATTTATCTTTCTTAGAAATAATTTATATGGCAAGATAACGTTTGCCGGGCCCCAGCTAGTATAACTATAAATTTAATAGGAGATTATCAGCAATGTAGGTGAAGTCAATTAATTGCATTAATTGCATCAAGTATGTGCTTTATTAAGAATAACTCAAAAATTACTGTTTTGTTTTATTGGTATATTAAAAATATTTATATACACACATTTCAACATTATTATCGGATTGCACTTTATAGCACTGGTATAGTAGTGTATTCCGTGGGGCCACACGGGTAGGTAACCCTGTTCTGCCTATAATTACCACGAAACATTCCTGCATTCCAGTTTGAAGAGTGAGGAAATTGTTAGATATTACAATTAAGATTTAGACACGCTGTCACTTTGAGTATTGTTTGATTGTATACAGTAAAATTAAAATAATTCATTCTCTGTTGGTACAGTGAAGTATTTCAGATGGTCTGTATGTATACTAGTGTTAAAATTACGGCACAATCGTATTTATAGTGAAAACCAAAACTAGAACTATAACTATAACTTGTAGTCAATAATAATTTGCGCAGGAGTTGCCGCCCCTTTCAACATGTCCTCCGCCTGAAGAACAATAGATGAAACCGTGGCCATCTTGTGTCTTTACCACTCCGACAAATAAGATGCGCCGGCGACATGTTGCAAGGGGCGTGGTTTAACAGTCTTTGCACACGGCACTCGGATCACCTGATGTGACGTAAAATCGTATGATTTTGGTGCTTCGTTGAGATGTGCGAGTTGACTTGCTCACTCGCCACATACAACATTAATATTATACTATGGTTTCCAGAAGCACCGTCTCCGCAAGCGACCAAGTCGAAGAAGTCCAAGAAGAAGGCGAAAAAGAACGCCACCGAACTTCCCGAGTCCCGGGACGGCACCAAAATGGTAACGCTGAGGAACCCGATGTTCCACCCGGACCTGCCGCCCGTGCAGATCAGCGCCGAGCCGCAGCAGCAGAAGAGCGAGCTGCGGATACCGGAGCCCATACCCATGCCGCCGGCCGCCTGCCAGGCAACCATCACGCCCACCTCCAACGGGATGTACACCATCCGGAACCCGCTCATGTCGATGATGCACCAGCAGCGCGCATCCCACCCCCGCCCCGACCAGCTGCACGACAGGATGCTCAGCCTGTCCTCCTTCACCCAGGGCAACGATGAGGGGTACTCGCTGTTCAGGAGCAACGACGAGGGTAGGCTGAGGAGCTTCCCCCGGCCAGAGTCCAGGCTAGAGACGAGCCCCAACCCGATCGGCACGCGCCCGGAGTCCAACGGCGCGTCTCTATTCGCCAATCAGCGCCCGGACCCGGTGCGCGCGGCGGACTACGCCGGCCCCCTCTACACGCCCTTCGGTCAGGAGGACGGGAATCTGTTCCGGAACGCCCTCTTCACGGACTCGAGGGACGCGCCCGACCTCAAGGCGGACGACCCCGGACAGCACCACCTGGCCAACGGTGACTCGCTGCCGTACTTCCAGCGTCTGAGGGTCGGCTCGAAGCTGAACAGCGAAATATCCGTGCATCACGTCAGCGATTCCAAGTTCTTCAAGACTCCGGTTAGTACTGAATTTAGTTTAGTAGCTATTTTACTGGTTAGCCCATTTATCGAGGAATATATAATATGACATCACGGTAAGACCAATACAAGTGGACCACCAATAAAGAATGTTTCAAAATATGGGTTTAAATAGCTCTGTAACACTCTATAATTTAAAAATATTTTCACTTTCTACGTAAATGGAGTTGGGGGATAAAATTTAGCGTTACGCCAAAGTTACTATTCCACGTAGACGAAATCGCGGGCAAAAGCTAGTATTTATATATATATTATACTATATTTAGCGTATTTTTGTTTTTGGATAGTATTATTTTATCTGTCAGAGTAAGTTCAGAGAGAGATTTGGTAGACAGCGGCTTGGCTCTGCCTTTGGCATTGCTGAAGTCCATGGGCGACGGTAACCACTCACCATCAGGTGGCTCGTCTGCCTAGAAAGGCAATAAAAAAAAAAAGAAAGATAAGTTGAGATATACGCTATTTGATTATTTCTTTATTATTTAATACTGTACACTTGGTGAACACTTATTTACGAAGTTCTGCTGAAGTTTTACAGATGGTAGGACCTCTTGTGAGTCCGCACGGGTAGGTACCACCGCCCCGCCTATTTCTGCCGTGAAGCAGTAATGCGTTTCGGTTTGAAGGGCGGGGCAGCCGTTGTTAGTTACTTTGAGACCTTAGAACTTATATCTCAAGGTGGATGGCGGATTTACGTTGTAGATGTCTATGGGCTCCAGTAACCACTTGACACCAGGTCACCCTTCGATGTGTTTACCGGACGTTACAATCCGAACTAATGAAATTCAAGTTGTGATGATTGTTCACTTGTTACAGGACGGGAGCCCTGTGGAGGCGGCGCCCCTGGACGACCCTCGCCACGTGTGGCCCGACGCGATGTACCCGCACGCGCAGCCAGGTCGGTGGGCCGCCAACTCCGTCCATGTAGACCATCGACGAGACTTTCGCGAGAACGCGAGGAGTGAAGTTGTGTGATTTGTTTGATTTTGTCTATTTAGTGTTTCTTCAGATTTAAATGTGTAATAACGGTGGTTCATTAACTGTTTAATATCTGTGAAAATGCACTAATGTGGGAAAATGAAACAAAGCCGCTGGACGTAACTTCTCGGGATCCTCCAAAAAGTCCACTGAAAAGATCTCAATAAACGACCACCATTTTACTGAGATTATATTTCATCCCTTATCATGTCATCTCATTTCATTTAATTTCATCCCAGCTGATTAATATCTTAAATTAATCATCTTAATTTCATTTCACTCTGTTATAATTTTTCATAAAAATAAGAATATAAATTAAAATAAGACATAATTTTAATGGATTTTATGATCTGGTAACTAAGATCTTTGAGTCAAGTCTTATTTTAATTTGAATGAAAACTTTTTTGTATGAAAAATTATATAATGAAATGAAATAAAGTTGATTAATATGAAACATGGCAAGAAATGAAATGAAATGTGATGAGATGATATGGGATGAAATATAATCTCAGTAAAACGGTGGTCATTTACTGAGACTTTTTCAGTGGACTTTTTGGAGGATCCCGAGAAGTTACGTCCAGCGGCTTTGTTTCATTTTCCCACATTTGTGCACTTTTACAGATACTAAACAGCTAATAAACCACCGTTATTACACATTTAAACCTGAAGAAACACTAAATAGACAAAATCAAACAAATCAACACAACTTCACTCCTCGCATTCCCGCCAAAAAGTCTACCGTTGTATTTAAGTAATTCATAAGATTAATTAATACGTGCGGGATTCGAACAACTGGTACAGTTAAGGTCTGCACTTGTGGAGGACAGTATCTGTGGACCACAGTTAACTGTCTCGCTAATTAATGACTTGTAATGCTTCCCGCAGACGCGCCCCCCCCGGTCCCCCCGCGCGGCTTCGGTCCGGTAGGGCACCCCCCGCCCGGCGCGGGCCACGAGTCCAGCGTGTTCCTCCCCGACGCCTCGATAACCAACTTATCATCGCTGGACCTGTCCGAAAGAGAAATCGAGAGCTTCAAGCGCTTCGAGTTCTACTTCGAGCCGCCCCAGCACAAGCCGAAGGTCTGCCTGGACGTGAGGGACATCGCGAACGCACTGAAACACAACAAACTCTAGTCGCTTACCGTCGCCCGCGCTGTCTGCACGTCCCGTGACGTTTTAATAACTGACGCGACTCTTTAGATGTTAAGTCGAATGTTATAAATACATTTCCATGTATCATTTGTTGTTTTATTTGGTCTTTACTGGTTCGTGCTAGAGGGTGCGTGGGAGCTCAACGCGCGTGACGTCATTTGAGGCTAAAATATATAAGTAAACTAAATTCAGATTATTTATGAAAACAAAGCCACACTTATATATTTTTTTCCTACCTATTCGCTGGTAGTTTAAGGGGTTATTCTAGCTACCCACTGGTTCTAGCAAGAGCAGTGCTTCGCAGAGTCTACCACCGGATCGGAAACGCGACCCACTGAGAAGATCCGGCGAGAAACTCATTGGGCTGTCTGTGGGTTAATCTTTGTCATAATCGACCGATGTGTTGAATTTCTTAATTATGTATCTCTAAAATTATACATTTAAAAACAATTTATTTATTTCAGTCTTTTCAGTTGCATCATTAAATTCGACAAGTACGAGTCACAGGAACTCATTTCAATTTTTACTGGTGGTAGGACGTCTTGAGTCCGCACGGGTACACTCCACCCTGCCCATTTCTGCCGTGAAGCAGTAATGCGGTTTGAAGGGTGGAGCAGCCGTTGTAACTATACTGAGTCCTTAGAGCTTATATCTCAAGGTGGGTGACGCATTTACGTTGTAGATGTCTATGGGCTCCAGTAACCACTTAACACCAGGTGGGCTGCGAGCTCGTCCACCCATCTAAGCACTAAAAAAAATATAAAAAACATGTGTCTCGTTTTTATCATCGCACCTCCCGCCGCCGGAGTAGACTTCATCCATACCACTTGGACCATCCGGCTATGGAATGAGCTCCCCTCCACGGTGTCTCCCGAGCGCTATGACATGTCCTTCTTCAAACGAGGCTTTGGAGAGTATTTAGCAGTAGGCAGCGGCTTGGCTCTGCCCCTGGCGCTGCTGAAGTCCATGGGCGACGGTAACCACTTAACAGGGCTGCGAGTTCGTCTATCCATCTAAGCAATTAATAAAAATAAATGTAGTAAATGCATGTATTGCCCTTGTAGGCAGACGAGCATGCGGCCTACCTGATGGAGAGCGGTTACCGTCTCCTATGGACGTTAGGAAAGCCAAGGATACAGCTAAACCGCTGTCTACTGTTATAGCCGTACCGTATTCTAACAGCTTATAACAAGAAAATTAAAGTTTTGGCTTAAAGGTCTAGTTTCCAGACCATAGATTCATTTAAAAAAAAGTCGGATAAAATAAAACTAAAAATAACAACAGTCAGTTATTACAAGTAAAGGTTTCATTTATTTTTAAAAAGAAAACAAAATGAATAAAGTCTCAATTAAACATACAGTTATTTAAAAAAAAAATACAAAGTCATCCTCCTGTGAATAATTTTATATTAAAATTTATCCTTTTCGATTTTATTAAATAAACAGATTAATTGAGCTAAGGCCCAAAGGATGTTGTCTTAATTCTATAGTACAACGCCTGTGCCGCCATTCAGACCGTAACGCATTACTGTTTTGCGACAGAAATAGGCGGGGCCTGGTATTTGCTCGGGTTCCCTATGTTCCATTATACAATCACTATTTTTCATAAATATTATTATTATTGTGAATTTCATTACATAGTTTCAACAATATAGTACGCAGAGACTGAACTAAGATTAATTTTTAAATTAATACGTGAAGCAAAAACTTTGTATCCCTTTTTACGAAAATTGCGCGGACGGAGGAGTATGAAATTTCCCACACTTATAGAGAATATATGGAATGAGTACATACAGAATGTTTAATATTTTTGTTAATTATGCATAAAAAATATATACTAAATCGATAAAAACAAAACATTACACACACTAACATGTATTTGACACAACACGTACATATAAATATTATATTATACTCTTTATTGTCAATTGTCAAACTTTTGTTTATTGTTTAAAGTCTGTGGTCAAATTGAGAATAGATTAATATTATTATTTATCTTTAATATTATTTATCTATAGTGTAGTTTTGGCGACATCTGTGATTAAAAGTATAACAGTGTTTGACAATAGAACCATAATAATGTTTCAACATAAAATTTCAATTCATTATAGTCGAATTTCTACTACTGCGGGACCACTAGTAATAATTAAATATGTATTTATTAAGCTCTGACGCTAGTCGCTTTAGTGGTCGATTTTGCGTTACATTGTGCGCTCGTGTTGAGGTCCCCTCTCAGTGCGGGCGCGTGTAGTGCGCGGGGTGGTGCAGGGGGGAGTGGTGGCGCCTCCTCTTCCTCCGGAGCGGGGGGGCGGCGCACAGCCCGGCGTGCGCCTGCGCAGCCACCAGCATGCCCAGCTGACACTGAGCCTACAAGTCAACACAATCACGGTCAACAAGAGCTGCCACCACCCATCATTTTACTGGTGGTAGGTACTCTTGTGGGTCCGCATGGGTAGGTACCAACACCCTGCCTATTTCTGCTGTGAAGCAGTAATGCGTTTCAGCTTGAAGGGTGGGGCAGCCGTTGTAACTATAGAGAGACCTTAGAACTCATATCTCAATGTGAGTGGGGGCACTTACATTGTAGATGTCTATGGGCTCGGGTAACCACTTAACATCAGGTGGGCTGTGAGCTCGCCCACCTACATATGAAAAAAAAACGCCAAAAGAACAATGACGTTAGCAATGATGACGCCACTTAACCAACAATCAAGCTATCGACCCTCCCGCCTACATACCTCCTCGTGCATCTCCTTCGCCATCGAATGGACGCTGTGCTCCGTGCTGTTGTAGATGAGGGCATTGGACAGCATCAGGAGCACGTCGCGCTGGAACTCGGCCGTCGTCCTGGGAGCGATCGGAACAGACCATCAAATCAGTAGGTATAGCAGCGCCATCTATCGAACGAGGGGCAAAACAGCACCGGTAGAACTCCAATCGTCAACCGCTAGAGGCGCGCGCATCGCGAGTCTGGCGAATCGCCTTGGTCACTAATTTTTAGTTCTGAGCTTAGCTTATTTTAACATTTTATTTTGCAGAAATCGCTAAATGATTTTCAACAAAAAAAGGGTACCTTATAAAAAAATTATTAAATAAGTCGATATTCCGACGCTCGGTATTTTATACACATTAGTAGGTCGTTTTATCGACGGTTCGCGCTGTCAAAGTTAATGACATAGACAATATTGACTTGATTTTGTACTACTTGTTGATTATTGTGTCTTCGGTAATTTTTCTATTAAACAAATTACTTCTAAGCTTTTAAAGTTTAATTTCGCACATCAAATAATGCTGCAGTAAACGTTATGGCAAAACATTGGCGATTCTGTTGTATGACGTCATACGTGGGTTGACAACGAACAGTTATCAGTTTGCTTATTGGCCTCGAATTAAGTATATTTTTTATATAGCGTCGCCATTTTTGAAACTCAACCTGATGTTTCCGTTGTCGATGTTCCTGCGGATCGTGGTGAGGTCCATGGGCCGCTTCACGACGACGCTGTACCCAGGCGCCTCCTCGTCGCTGATCGGACGGAGGAACAGCGAAGCGTATTTATGAGCGCACAATCTGGAATCAGGAGGATGAATGATGATAAAAATATTCTTAAATAAATAATTATATAAGATATATTATGTATTATGTTCTAGCACTTTTATTTACAAACAAATTAAATTTAAGATTGTTATTTTAAACTTATTATTATTAGATTCTTAGATTAGATTTATCTTAGATATTTATAGATATTAGATTATTAGATTAGACCTCATATCTCAAGGTAAATGGCGGCATTTACATTGTACATGTCTATGGGCTCGAGTAACCACTTAACACCAAGTGGGCTGTGAGCTCGTCCACCAATATAAGCAATAAAAATATTATAAAAAAAAACATGTGGAATGGTTCTACCTGCTGTAGACCAGCATGACGGACTTCCTCCACAGGCGGTGCTGTCTCTCGGCGTCGTTGCCGCTGGGCGAGTCCGGGGCGCTGGTCTCCGCGGCGCTCTCTGACCCTGAGCAAGCTGGAAGAGTTCTCCGAATTATCAAATCGCATCATCATCAAACTTGGGACATTCTCTATAACAGCCCTATATTATTAAGCGATATGAAACGAAAAAAGCGACACTAATAAATTTAAATTGAAAATAGTGTAAAAAAATATATTTTTTATTGTAAAAAAAGCGTGGGGTGCTTTTTAAGATATTATTGAAATAATAATTCTTCTACTCATATCTGTCGGAAAAATATTTATAACTAATAACACCATGCACCCCACGCTTTTTTTACAATAAAAAGAAATATATATTTTTTACACTATTTTCAATAAAAATTCATTAAAATTTATTTTCTGTTTTTTTGTTGAATTTTATATAAAGCGTGTTTTTTAGTTTTTTTTTTAATTATTATTTATTTTTAATTTTTTAGTTGATTTTAAATTTTTTCAATTTTTTTTTAAATATTGAATTGTCATCGGTCCTCGATAGATCTACAAAGTTTGAATGAAATCTGGCCGTTTATTAAAGTGGGTCAAAATCGCGTCTAAAGGAGTCAGTTACAAACATACATACAAGTGAAGCTAATATAAAGCGTATAAAAAGAGACAAACACTGCATGAGCATCATGAAAAGTCTGCCCATCTCTCTCTCGCGCGGTCTAGCTTATGAGTGTGAAGGGGACAGTTAATGTTTTGCTTTTGTTAATGTTTATAAATATAGCGTGGTCTTATTTTATTGTTGTTTTAATATTAAATTAATATTGTCTAATTATAATGGCATAAGTCGATAAAAAAATGCTATGCAATAGCTTTACCGCGGCAGTCCTCGAGTGCCACACGTGTTTTTTTCTATTATTACTCTATATACCTGAATAAGCTGACCGCATAATCAATGTTTAGTGGTTATCAGTGCCCATTGACATCACCGCATGATTCATCTTGAGACATGAGGTCGAATTCGAAGTTTACTGCTTCGTGGTGGTAATAAGCAAGACATAATTATGTTTTTGAAGTCAAGAATGTCTGAGGAGCTTTCGAGGAAGTTTGGAGGTAAAAAAGACAGAAGCGACTCACTTCGAGAATCGGATTTCTTCTTTCTAGAATAGTCTCTCTTCTTCTTTCCGTCCTTCTCCTCTTCTCTGCTCAACTGCGAAACGGAAAGCATTATCAGAACGAGGCGAGAAGCTTTTGAAAATATTAGTACAGGAAAATAATCCATGTGTCGTGTATAAATAAGGTACATAATCGCCTACTTTAATTTAATTTAAGCTCTATTTTATATCAAATACGGATCAATTTTTGTATGCACGTAGTATATTCGTGTTTCAAGTATTCCAAACAAACAAGCGAGCGTGCAAAATTAGTGCTTATTGCTATTGGAATAAAGAATATATTAGCTGTAAACGCAGATTAACTCTTAATCCGACTTAACGTTTTTTTTTAAACGCCTTTGTAGCCGGACCAGCATAGGCCCACCTGATGGTAAGTGGTTACCGTCGCCCATAGACATCAGCAATATCAGGGGTACGGCCGAATCGCTGCTTACAACAGGCTGTTGATTATGACAAATCAATCTATGGGTAGAGTCGGATAACTACCCTCTCATTTTTGTTAATATGTTGATAAGCTTTTAGCGACGCCATGGCATCCTATCAGCCCTCGGACATCTGCATCGCCCTCACGGACGTGCCTTATATTAAAGACCAGATGTCCCATTACCTAAATCTTTAGGCTTTAGAGTAAGAGGTAAACTTAAGAAGAAACGGATGGATTGCGTGAAAGACGATATGTGTGGGAGGGGAGTGAGCGAAGAAATGGTATGTGATAGAGGAGTATGGAAGGAGAAAACATGTTGCAGCGACCCCTGGTGACTAGGAGGGCAGGATGATGGAGCCACTGCGTTCATCGACAGTGCGTTTCCAGAGATCTTTCTTGCCACGCACCATCCGGCTATGGAATGAGCTCCCCTCCACGGTGTTTCCCGACCGCTATGACATGTCCTTGTTCAAACGAGGCTTGTAGAGGGTATTTAGCGGTAGGCAGCGGCTTGGCTTTGTTATTGGCATTGCTAAAGTCCATGGGCGACGGTAACCACTCACCATCCGTGGTGGGCCGTGTGCTCGTCTGCCTACAAGGGCGATAAAAATAAAAATAAAAAAAATGCTGATGTCCCCTCACCTCCATGGGGGTGTCGTCGTCTGTCTCGGCGTGCGTCTCCTCGGGGGGCGGAGGCTCCCGCTTCGCGACCGCCTGGATGAGCATCTGGTTCAAGGGTATTGAATCCTGCAGCAAAGGAAACTTCAATGAGGAAGGACTTTTTGACAAAAGACGGAGTGAAGTTGTTAATTTTAATTTTTTTATTGCTTAGATGGGTGGACGAGCTCCCAGCCAACCTGATGTTAAGTGGCTACCGGAGCCCATAGACATCTTCAAACGCCGCCACCCACCTTAAAAAACTCAACGGGTCTAAAGTCGGGTCTAATGACGTCATATGTGGTCGAATGATATTTATCAGCAGTGGGTGCAGTTCCGAACCAGCATCCACCTTGAGATATAAGTTCTAAGGTCTCAAGTATAGTTACAACGACTGCCCCACCCCTCAGACCACGTTACTGCTTCACGGCAGAAGTAGGCGGGGTGGTGGTACCTACCCGCGCGGACTCACAAGAGTTCCTAGCACCAGTAATTACGCATATCATAATTTTGTGGGTTTGATTTTTATTACACGTTATGTTATTCCTTCACCGTGGAAGAATCGGGAACATTAGGCAACAGCAAGAGCCATGCCAAGAAGCATGCTTCGCAGAATCTACCACCGGATCGGAAACGCGACCCGCTGAGAAGATCCGGAAAACTCAAGAGGGCTTGTAAGTCATATTGTCGGGACATCGATTTAAATTCGCCCCCAATGTTAGCGATATTGAGGGACGCCTTTCAAATTCTCTTGAGGTCTGGAAACCGGCTTCGACCTCACGAATCGTGAACCACGCACCTCGGCATCTTCGTCTCTCTTCAGTCCGTCTTCCGTCTTCTCGACGGCCGCTTCCGCTTCCGGTGCGGCCGATTTGTTCGCCACTTCCGGCTCCGTCTTGACTTCCACCAGTGGCGTTTCCTCTTCGGCTTCCGGCTTCGCTTCGGGCGGTGGCTCCTCGACCGGAGTCTCCTCTGGTGGCGCTGAAACTGACCCGTAGATTATATTTTAAGATTACACTAGATAACGCTGACACGAGTCCACGGAAGTATACTGAAAGTACTCTACTGGTGGTAGGACCTCTTGTGAGTCCGCGCGGGTAGGTACCACCGCCCTGCCTACTTCTGCCGTGAAGCAGTAACGCGTTTCAGTTTGGAGGGTGGGGCAGCCGTTGTAACTATACTGAGACCTTAGAACTTATATCTCAAGGCGGGTGGCGCATTTGCGTTGTAAATGTTTTTTTTATTTTTTTATTGCCTTTGTAGGCAGACGAGCGTACGGCCCACCTGATGGTAAGTGGTTACCGTCGCCCATGGAGTTCAGCAATGCCAGGAGCAGAGCCAAGCCGCTGCCTACTGCAGCCTGCCTGCCTACTACTGTCTATGGGCTTCGGTAATCACTTAACACCAGGTGGGCTGCAAGTTCCTCCATCAATCTAACCAATAAAAAAAAATATATAGGGACAGAGAAAGCGACTTTGTTTTATACTATGTAGTGATGACTGCGTCAAAGACTCAAACCTGGGCTCTCAGCCGCTTCTGGTGCGTCGGGCTCCTTCGCATCCGGTTCAGGCTCCGGTGGCAAGGGTATATCTTCGGGCAGCACCCTCAGACACTCCTCTTCGACGTCCTCCGGCTGTTGCGCGGGAGGCGGTTCTTCAACCGACTCATCTTGAGGAAGTGCTTCAGGGGTTACAACTTCCGTTTCGCTCGCGGACGGCTCTGGTTTCTCTTCTACAGGGACCGGAGGTGGTTCGGGGCTGAAATTTGTGTGACTCTTCATCTGAAGGTACGAAAGACTGGACAGTCGTTACGTTAGATTAGTGGTCGGCAAACTTATTAGTGACTAGCGGCCCGTTCCGGCTCCGCTCGGGTCTTTAACAAAAATTTCAACGATATTTGACATTGTTTTATTTTTTTAAATAAAAGAACACTTATTGCGGCACAACTGCAATAGTTAGACATATGCTGTCGCGACACTTTTTGTAAATAATAATTATGTTCTACAAAGTCGTAGTACATTATTTTATTCTATCATCAATAGTTTTCGCAGGGCACGCGATGTAAAGAATATTTTAGGTAACTTTTTTACACCTTGGGTTACATTATTGAAGTTTTAGTAACGATCCCTAATTTTTTTCAAAAAAGATTATAGCCTATGTCTCTCGGGAATAGTGTAGCTTCCAAACAGTGAAAGAATTTTTCAAATCGGTTCAGTAGTTTCGGAGCCTATTCAATACAAACAAACAAACAAATCTTTCCTCTTTATAATGTTAATATAATATTATTGCATATAGTATAGAAGAGCCAAATATGCAAATTAAAACCACTTACAAAAATATTGAGAACCATATCTGTTTGTAAATGTAGTAACCATTCATTATTACAACTCATAAAATAAATGCTACATTGTATACTGCTTCGATTAATATATATAATAGTAATCAGGGGTGCTGATATTAAATGACCGTACATATTATTAACCGGCTTTTTCGTCCACAGTCGGATAATATTAAAGGCCGGGCAAGCCCGTAGGATATTTGTACCAGAGCCACACTCAAGAGTTCAAAGAGCCGCATTTTGCCGACCTCTGAGCTATACCATTGTTTGAATTCGGAACGTCAAAAGTGTCAACGAGCGATGTGCGCTATGACACTTTACCCCTTTTCATTTCTAGCCGCCAAGGACGACCCATCTATTTCATATTTCTTATATTCATATATCTTTAATTTGTCACTTATCAACTAATAAAAATATCAAACTAATAATACAGTCCACTCTCATTCACCACAACGCAACATATGGTCCTTCGAGCCAAATTAAAGATATCACCATTGACGATTAGACTTCATGTCTCAAGTCTGTTGTTGAGTTACCGCACTCGCTGTCTCTAGAGTGGATCATCAACACTCACTCAAGTGCGTCACTCTCTTCCGCGGGTAGAGGCTCCTCCTCGACCGGAGGGGCTGGTTCATCTTTCGGCGTGACCACCTCCTCTTCCTCCACGTCTGGTTGAGGAGGTGTCGATTCTATTTCCTTGATCTCCTCTTTTATCTGAAATTCAAGGATAGACTTATATATAAATGTATGTATAAATATAATTTCTTGATTCATCGTATGAGACCTTGATATTAAAGTTTATAGGCAGATATAAAAGTTTGCCTCTGGTAGGCAGCGGCTTGCCTCTGCCCCTGGCACTGTTGAAGTCCATGGGCGACGGTAACCACTCACCATTAGGTTGGCCGTATGCTCGTCTATCGAATATCGAAGGATTTAGTAGCATCTAGAGCGCTCGAGAAGTACAACGCCATCTATTGTCAGATAGCGGAAACACACAATATTCGACTTGTGAGGAATATTCTCGATAATTCTAGGGATGTCGTATCGATTATAGAAGCGTTGCGAATTGAGAATTTTAAAGTGTTCTGTGTGTGTTCCAAGTGATGAATACAGTTTTAAGTTGTACTTTGGTGGAACATTTATTTATACCGAACCCCAGCGCGTACCCCAACAATATATAGATTACTCCTATTAATCGAATTAAATTACATAAGGCATACGCTTACCTTTTCAACTTCGGGTTGAATGACTTTAATTTCGGTCGTCGGGAATTTCACTTCCGGGAAGCTGACCTTGACCTCCGTCTCTGCTGGGGGGTCAGGCGGGGGGCCGGGCGGGGAGGCGGCCTCCTCCGCCTCCGAAGCCACAGCCGGCAACGTCGAGTCAGCCTGTACGGTATGTAGCCACTTAAGGTTTTTGGGTCATTCCATGTCTAATATGGGACTGCCGGCGTGACCCAGCCTTAAGTGTGACGTGCTTATGGAAGAGACGACATCTCATCGCCCAGGGCGTGCGTGCTAACTTACCACCTCTGTACCTTCTATCACAGCCTCTTCGCCAGCCTCCACGGACGTCGGTTCCTCCTAAGATAAATATTAAAATAACCAATTACATTAAGTACTACTAAAATAAAATAAAATGATGCACGTGCAATTTGGTGCACGTGAAAGAAGTTAAACTTCTTTTACGGTTTATAGTATTTTGGTATCCTTAAATCAAATCTCTCTTGTAATAGGGAAGGCTGTGTATAAGAGAAAGGACCTAGCTCGCTTTGTCGCTCTCTCTCTCCACGGTCGAGTGGTTCACGAGACGCCATGTCTATTTTCTCACTCTCGCTCTCTCAAAATTGTATATTTTCTCCCTAGCCGTAACGAATCTATCGCGAGTTAAATTTTACTCTCAACGCGCCTAAAGAAATTTCACTTCAAAAAGTACAACGCCCTGTAGATTGTCTTCTCCCCTGGATACACGAATTTTTAAGCTCGTGATGAGTGACCACTTACATCACAACGTGAACATAACTTGAGACATGCCACTTCAACCGCATGTACTTCGTAATTTGGCCTGACCACCCTGACCAGAGTCACCAAGTTACCCGACTTGTGTGGTTCGCTTAAAGTTTTTAATCTAAAGTTTATTTAATGAAATTTTACTGGTGGTAGGACCTCTTCCGAGTCCGCGCGGGTAGGTACCACCACCCTGCCTATTTCTGCCGTGAAGCAGTAATGCGTTTCGGTTTGAAGGACGGGGCTGCCGTTGTAACTATACTGAGACCTTAGAACTTATACCTCAAGGTGGGTGGCGCATTTACGTTGTAGATGTCTATGGGCTCCAGTAACCACTTAAGACCAGGTGGGCTGTGAGCTCGTCCAGCCATTTAAGCAATAAATAAATAAAAGTTTACTCCAATGACGCTTCTCACTCATCTCATCTCGGCTGCTGTCAGCGCTCTGGTGACACTCAGCGGTGATGATACCTCCCGTTAGGACATCACCCACCAAATCTTGCCAAGCAAGGCTGTGTCGAGATCAATCAGTACGCACCTTGATACTCTCCTCCATTGGTTCAGAGGAATCCTCCGCGACCCCGTCAGCTTCGACAGCCTCTTCATCCTTTTTGGGAGCTGGTTTTTCTTGTTTGCTGTAAATAAAAGAAAAAAAATTAATTTAATGGCTTGGCTGTGTCCCTATCGGTGCGACGTCCACGTGTGACCACTCATCATCAGATGGGCCGTATGCCCATCTGCCTACACGGGCAATGAAAAAAAAACACTACTACATTTCGAGTATAAAATAATTTTTTGAAGTGAAACTTCTTTAGTCTATCTTTCTTCTTCCAAAAAAAAAATGGAGTTAAATATTTATTCTCGACTCTATTCATTTTCTATTCACACGTCTCAGGAGTCACCTCAAAACTTCTTCGACTCCGCTCAAGATAATTCAAATAAAGCAGTTTTTTTTTCTCAATCAAGGTGATGAAATCCTATAAAAAAGTCACGGGTTTAATAGAAATTTTAATGGATTTTTTGACGTGATAACGTCTTATAAATCCATGAACACGGGCTGCACGCACGAAAAAGTGTCACGTTCCGCCTGAGTGTGCCAGCGAGAGGATCGATCGGCCCAAGTCGACTCGTGACACATTTATCTCTGTTCTCGCGTGACGTCACAGCTAGCAGTTAGAATAGTTCCGCTGCTGACGTCATCACGTTAAACTATCGTCCGTAAACCGACTTTATAGACAACTTTTTTACTCGCTAATCGTGGACCACAAGGTCGACCCCCAACCACCCGCTGGGTCCCCCCGAGTGGGGGTCACTCACCTGCCCCCCGCGCCGCCCTTGTGCAAGGCGACGGGCGGTATGTGTATGTCCACGTCCCTGAAGGCGTAAACGTCTTCAGCCTTGATCTCGATGTCGTCGATGTCCACTGCGGGGGCGAGGGTGGGGGCGGGGGCGGGGGCTGGCAACACCGGCGAGCTCGTGTTCGCTACGGATTAAAACAACGCTTGCAACACAGTGCGCACTACAGAGCACTCGCGGAGCGATGTTACAATGTATTTATTTTAGGAGTATGTTAGTATTTTAGTAGTATTCTTAAAACTGAGACCTTACAACTCATGTCTCAAAGTGGGTGGCGGCATTCACATTGTAGATGTCTATGGGCTCCGATAACCACTTAACATCAGGTGGGCCGTGAACTCGTCGAACCATCTAAGCAATAAATAAAAAAAGTAGTACATAAATGGGCAGCGAAATGGTCTGTTTGTTGAGCGATTTCCTTTTTTGGTTTGTATGTATTGATGAGTTTTAGAATGAGCTCGCCTCCGCGTTTCCCGAGAGCCCTTCAAACGAGGCTTGTGGAGAGTATTAAACAGTTGCTTGGCTCTGCCCCTGGCATTGCTCTTGTCCATGGGCGACGGTAACCAAAGGCGGGTCCGATACTCGTCTACTTACAAGAACAATAAAAAAACTTCTTTAATGTTACCAATAAAAAAAAGCTAATAATATGTGGTAAGATATTGAAAATGTTTTACTTTAAAAAAAAAAAGACAAAAGACATGAATTACATATATTTAATCTAAACCTTGAGGCATTAGTTATTACGGTCTAATTGCGATTTTTGGCTGGACCCTAGTTTAAGAATTTGCCCAGCTGTGGGCGATATTCATGCAAAAGGCACTATATGACTTTTCATTTTCTACCAAAAAGTATTGTATTTTTAACTGAATTCTGAGAGGCGAAGACTAAATTTTAATGTATCGAAGGGCTCGACGAGTAAATTAACCCAAGATACAGCCCACTGAGCTTCTCGCCGTATCATCTCAATGAGTTGCGATTTCGATCCGGTGGTAGATTCTGCGAAGCACTGCTCTTGATCGTTAGCAATGTTAAAGCCCCGTGAGCTCACCTACTCGCTCGGTGAATCTAGCATGACCCCCCGATGTCATTAGTATAGTGCTAGCTTCGGGGGCCAACTAATCCTCCACCTACCCTTCAGCTGGTGCTCGATCTGTTGCAGCTGACTCTTGATGTGCTCGATGGCCGCGTGCTTGCTCTCGTGCTGGTTGCAGGAGGACGAGGACAAGGACTTCTCCAGCAGCATCGACAGAGTAGGAGCCGTGACTGATGGCGAGACCGTTTCTGAATGACACAGCGGACATCATCTTTAAATTTCACTAGAGGATGACCAGTTTTTTTTTCTTTTGAATAATTGTGTTTTTTAGAAATTATGTTTAAATACGAATTACATATTGATATTATATTATATTATTTGTTATTTTCTTTGAATTACAAAAAAAAAAGTTTATGTTTAAATTGATTATTATCGATAAAGTTGATTATTGAAAACATGAATAAAACAACATTTTCTGAAAATAAATTGTAGCTAGATCGATTTATCGCCCCCGAAATCCCCTGTATACTAAATTTTATGAAAATCGTTGGACCCCTTTCCGTGTTTCAGATTATATATATATTTATATACAAGAATTGCTCGGTTAAAGATATAAGATTAATGAGCTAACAGCAAATCATATTACTGCCACCCCCCTTCAGATCAAAGCCACTAGTGATAGGACCTCTTGTGAGTCCGCACTGGTAGGTACCACCGCCCTGTCTATTTTTGCCGTGAAGCAGTAATGCTTTCCAGGTGAAACGGCTGGTGTAACTATACTGAGATCTTAGAACTCATATCTCAAGGTAGGGTGACGTTGTAGATGTCTATGGACTCCGGTAGCTACTTTATACTCTTTGTTTATTGTCAAACTTTTGTTATTGTGTGTTATCAAATTGAGAATAAATTAATATTATCTGTCTATAGTGCAGTCTTGGCGAAATCTGTGATTATAGAAGTATAATTAGTCTTCGACAATAGAACCCTAATAATGTTCAAACTTATAATTTCAATTAATTATAGTCGAATTTCGGCTACTGGGGGACCACTGGTCATTATTATTTGATTAACTCACTTTGGCCCCAAATGACGTCACACATCCTTACGCTGCATCCAGACTAGTCAGATTAGTTTCAATGAAGGTTTTCAGTGTAACTTTATATAAGCGACATACCGACAAGATTGGCTGGATGCGAGATGTGCTGTGGTGTTGTTACAACCGGAGACGACTTCAGCAGTGACGTCAGGAGCGGGGAGGCTGGAGGCACTGGAGTCGGTGTGTCTGTCAAACGAATAGAAGTCATTTGAGGTCGTCTACCTACGAGAAGAGAGGGGACAGAGAGAGGGGGAGGGGTGAGAGAGAGAGGGGACAGAGAGAGGGGGAGGGGACAGAGAGAGAGGGGGAGGGGTGAGAGAGAGAGAGTGGACAGAGAGGGAGAGGGGTGAGAGAGAAAGAGAGAGGGGGAGGGGTAAGAGAGAGGGGAGAGAGAGTGAGAGAGGAGTGCGGATATATAGAGAGAGAAGAGAGAGATAGAGAATGCACATCAAAACACAATTAACATTAGAAAAACAGTCAACAAGCAGATATATTTGTACGAGTACAATAGGCAGCCTTATCGCTAAAAGCGTTTTTATCCAGACAACTGTTTATAAGAAATTCTGGAAAGACTAACTTAGTCCAAATCTACGTACTGTCGTGTGCTGGTGAAGAGGGAGTCGATTGTGGACGCCAGTTTCTCTCGGCTCTGACCCGCCTTTCCTCTCTTTCTTTGAGCCAAGCTACCTTCTTCGCTGCTTCTCTTTCTTTAGCCCGTTTCGCGGACTCCATATTGGCCCAGAGCTCAAGCAGACGCTCATCAGACGTTGAAGGATTACGGATCTCCGATAATTCATCCTGTGGTAGAAAGGTAAAGAAAGATATATTATTAGCTTATATTTATGAGTCAAAGTGAAGTTGTCGTGGCCTAAAGGATAAGACGTCCCGTGCATTCGTATGTAGCGATGCACTGGTGTGTAAAAATAAGACTTGACTTAAAACTCTCATTACTAGGCTATAAAACCTTTAAAAAAGTGGGATGTTGACACCGAACTGTCACTAAATGGTCAGACATTAGCCAATACCATAGACATATATAGTAGGGACACGACATATTGTTCTATACGTACAATTGCTTATATAAATAGCACCCATTTTGAAGGGACCCATTTTGACACACATAAACATATATCTATCTCGTTCTTACTCAGCACTTTAACTCGCAGGAAAACAATATAACAGTATTTCAGTGTGTACATAAAATGAAACATGAATATACGTAAATATCTCCGTCTCCGTCTAATGAGGCCGAAAATCCGCCATGTTTAGCGCACTAAATGTCATTGTCACGTCAGTTCGGCTGTCTGTTTTGGGTTGTAAATTATTTATTGACTTTGATATCGATTTAATATGATTGCTTATATAAAATTTCTTATTTTATCATGCTTAAAACATACAAAAATAATAATTAAAACATATTTTATAGGATCTCAAAAAAGTCGATGCCCCAAAACTATTATCTATATATATTTAAATTCATTATGGAGCCCTCATCGGAATCGGAATCTATTGATCATGACACTACTCATAAATACCTCTTTAAAATATGTCATCAAAACATATTTAGACATACTGTTTAGATATTTCGGGAAAAAGGCTACCGACAAAATCTCTTCGGAACTATTTAAATAAAATAGTTTTATTCCGCAGTGAGTAAAACACTATTGTAAATTCGTTAAATATTTAATAATTAAGTGATTTTAGAGAGGAAGTCACAAGGAATGACGTTTGTAATTAATGAAGAAATGTTCTGTAGGTGTTTTTTTTTATCACGCAGTCCCTTAATAAGTTTAAAATTTGAATCACTCTCAAGTGAGAGTTATATAAAAAAATATGAAAATACCTTCATTACTTCATGTTGTTGACTCATTTCAGCAATATTCTTCTGGATCTCGGCTATCCGATCTTGTGTTAAACGTTTCAATATACTCTCCTGTGGAGTTTCCACGCCACCATCAGAGTTTCTCTTTTTTCGTTTCGGCGTTTCCACATGTTCTAATAGCGTTCCATATTGTGCAGCACAGCTGATGGATGGAAATGTGTTAATGACATACGGATAACGGAGCCCACAGTTCTTGTAGATCTAAATCTCATTATCATTAGGCTATCCAATGCTTCAGAGGAAGACATGACGTCTACACAGTTTGATATGGATTGAATAAGCTCATAAACAATATAACTATTTAGAATAATAGAATGAATATAATTAATTAGAGCTTTAGTGTCCTTCAAATTAGTTATTTGTAATTTTGTTAATTTTTTTATGAATAGGACTAATTTACTGGGGCTTTAAAGAGCAATCTACCAAATTGGAATTTTTTCATAGATTTTAAATAAAGAAGGTGCATACTCAATTAGACTCTTTTTATATTAGATCCATTATATCAGAACTCTTTCCAAAGTGTAATTAAGTTAAATGATTTTATTTTAAAGCTAGTGCTTCTTATTTTTGTTTATTTGATAATATATTTTTATTAATTATTTATAATATTGAATATTCAATTGGCTTTTGACAATGATCTCATTTTATTTTGTTAAACTCGGTGTTATTGTTTTATCAAAATGTTGTATTAACATTTCTTTTGAACATTTAATTATTGGGGCCACCCACCCACCATGTAATATAAGGCTGTGTTTAACCAATCCTAATGTTGTCAAAGTTATAGAGGGTGTCTTTTAGCGAGTGGAAAGACTTAAAGAGCGGACAGTTAGCGTGGTATCGACATGTGATGCGTAGAGAGGAGATGCATGAGACTAGGAGATGTATGGAAATGGTAGTGCAAGGTAGAGGGGGAAAAGTTGACCGAAGAAGACATGGATGGAGTGTGTGAATGACGATATGAGAGAGAGAGGAGTGTGTGTTGACCTATTATAGCCTACTAAATACTATAATAGCTCTACTGAATATAATTTTAAGTTTTATCGAGTTCAAATAACGTGGAAAGCGTGGTGGAATTTTCATTGGTGAATAATGCAAAAATGGTTTGAAAATAAAAAATAAATGTGAAAAACGAATGTGTTTCTCATCAACTCAGCCACCACTTCACTATCGCAAGCTATTTCAAACCTGTATCAATAATTATATAGTAGATATAAAAGAAAAACAAAACCTTTTTTGGGAATACCAGTCCGGAGGCCTGTTTGGCTCGCCAAGGGTCTTTAGAGCGCGGGAAACCGACATCCAGTTCTGATCCCCGCTTCTGACCACGGCGGATGCCAGGCATAGCTGTTCACGTATATTCCAAGTGTCCAGGGGAACTCTTTTGAGCTGAAGACGCTCTTGTATTGAGCTCATTTTGAGGTTATGTTTTGGAAATGGAGTTTCGAGATTACATAACTATTTATAGTTGTTTAATTGTCCATGTAATGTGTATTTACTGTTTTGAAAGTATATTATTTTTATTTTATTATTTAACTGTTTAAAACACAATTAATAAGTATTTAATCTATGATACAAACGTCAAACATGATACATAACAAAAAAAATTTTTTAAGTATTTAATGACCTGGTTACCAAGACCTTCGGGTCAAGTCTTATTTTAATTGTAATGAAAACTTTTTTATATGTAAAATTATAATATTTTATTTCATATTATAATTTTACATATAAATGATGTTGATTAATATAAAACATGGCATGAAATGAAATCAAATGAAATGAAAACGAAATGGAATGAAAAAGAAATCAATTAAGATGAGATGATATAGGAAGAAAATATATAATCTGATTAAAATGGTTGTCATTTCATTGTAGACTTTTTCAGTGAAATTTTTGGAGGATCCCGAGAAGTTACGTTCAGCGGCTTGTTAGTTAGCGTGTTTAATTATTATTATTTCTTTTATTTATTGCTTAGATGGGTGGATGAGCTCACAGCCCACCTGGCGTTAAGTGGTTACTGGAGCCCATACAAGGTAAATGCGCCACCCACCTTGAGATATAGGTTCTAAGGTCTCAGTATAGTTATCTCGAATATATTAAGTGTATAAATCTATGATAGTTAGACTCTAATACACTTTTTAAATAAGATTGATCTATGACATATTTTTTTGAAGTCGTCGTGGCCTAACGGATAAGACTTCCGGTGCATTCGTGTTGAGCAATGCACCGGTGTTCGAATCCCGCAGGCGGGTACCAATTTATCTAATGAAATACGTACTCAACAAATGTTCACGATTGATTTCTACGGTGAAGGAATAACATCGTGTAATAAAAATGAAACCCGCAAAATTATAATTTGCGTAATTGCTGGTGGTAGGACCTCTTGTGAGTCCGCGCGGGTAGGTACCACCACCCTGCCTATTTCTGCCGTGAAGCAGTAATGCGTTTCGGTTTGAAGGGTGGGGTAGCCGTTGTAACTATACTTGAGACCTTAGAACTTATATCTCAAGGTGGGTGGCGCATTTACGTTGTGGATGTCTATGGGCTCCAGTAACCACTTGATACCAGGTGGGCTGTGAGCTCGTCCACCCATCTAAGAAATAAAAAAATATTTCCACTATTTTCCACAATCCACTGAGTTGTCTATGTCGTGGGGCGTTAGGGATGATAATCGCGTGCCAAGTGAGCCTTAGAATCGCCTACCGATTCGACACAATTAAAAATCTAATCTTTTAAAGTCCTTATAGGTTATTATTCCCAGTATGCGTTTATGGTCATGTTTGTCATTTAGGCCTGAAACGAGTCACACGAAATTAATTATCAGCATTCAAACGACTTTTTAATTTTTTTTAAGGAATTCCGGAAAATAAAATAATATCTCACATTAATTTCTCTCAAATTTTAGATACATATATTTTGTGTGTAACTTGAAACTTAGTTTTTCTTTAGTTAATTATATGAGCTATGTCCCGCCGAGTTTCCCCTCTGCCTCTCGTAAATAAACTTCAACACGGTGTCAATGTCATCAGATTTTGACATTCGTCCTCTAGGCCTCATGACGTCTTCGGACAAATATGGCGCCGACATCATGCACGGTTCGCGACTGGCTAACTGTATATCTGAAATTCAAATATCTATCTAACACAATTGTCTTATCGTGACCGTCTCAAACTGTATTTCCTAGGCGACGGGGCAACGCCGGGCTGCCATCGCCCTAAGCACGTCCTATCGGATCCTCTCGATCCATTATCAGTGCTTATGTCACTTCAAGCAGCGGTCGCTGTTCTCGTCGAAAACTTCGATTGCGAGAATTTCATAACGCAATATGCAAAAGTTATCAGTGATTTAAAAAAAAAACATAACAATATGTTTCAACATCATTCGATTCACCATCAAGTATCACAGCTGACAGAAATTCTGCGTATCAAACTGTGTTTGACAAACTATAATAATATTTTTTTGGGTTAATTTTCAACATGGAGGGTAGAAGTAAGTGGCGCCATTTTGTATAGCGGAAAAGTATCCACCTGTAAACAGCAAGTTAATGTTGGAGGGCTCACCGAAATAGTGCTAGTGTAGGAAGTGGAAATGATATGAATATAACAGTTATAAACAGAGTAAAGTGTGTTGGATTAAAGTGTAGTTTGTATAAAATCTTTCCACTTGCTACAGTGGCGCCACCTTAATTGGCTCCCTTTCAGCGGACACTTTAATACACTGAGATGATGTCATTACTTCTACCCTCCATAGTTTTTATCAATGAAGTAGGAAACCTATGGAAATGAAACGTCAACCAAAATTTCGTGCCACTGTGACGTCATCTGGCCACAAAACATGGCGGCTTTAGTGCTGTACAAAAGATTTCAATGTTATCAGGTTTTATCGATAAACGTTCTTGGCTCATTTTATTTTAAATATTGTTGAGTATTATTTATTTGTAGAATTTATACTTTAATGGGAAGTAAGTAGGTATATTGTTATGTGCAAATATGATATGATTTAGATGGGTGAAATCTAAGACAAGTTCGTCCTTCGAATTTGCCAAGTAAACGATATGATGATTTTTAAAAGTTGCTACACTGATTTTATAAAGTTGTCGTTTGTCGCAAAACATAAAGATATGGCGTAGTTCAAAGCCATCAGCCCATTTCTAGCATGCTAAATGTTATCGTATTTTGAGTACGTGTTTTTCTTAGACTATTACAATCTATTTTAATTGTTTTGCTGACTCTAAAGTCCGTAACATACTACCGCAGCGCACCCCAAGGAAGGTGCGCCGCACCATTTGAATCACTTTCGCTTGAGAGTGATTCAAATTTTAAACTTATCAAGGGACCGCGTGAAAAAAAAAACACCTACAGAACATTTATTCATTAATTACAAACGTCATTCCTTGTGACTTCCTCTCTAAAATCACTTAATTATTAAATATTTAACAAATTTACAATAGTGTTTTACTCACTGCGGAATAAAACTATTTTATTTAAATAGTTCCGAAGAGATTTTGTCGGTAGCCTTTTTCCCGAAATATCTAAACAGAATGTCTAAATATGTTTTGATGACATATTTTAAAGTGGTATTTATGATTAGTGTCATGATCAATAGATTCCGACCGAAAAATGGATTTTTCGGATGAGGGCTCCATAATGAATTTAAATACATATAGATAATAGTTTTAGGGCATCGACTTTCTTGAGATCCTATAAAATACGTTTTAATTATTATTTTTGTATGTTTTAAGCATGATAAATTATGAAATTTTATATAATCAATCATATTAAATCGATATCAAAGTCAATAAATAATGTACAACCCAAAACAGACGGCCGAACTGACGTGACAATGACATTTGGCGCGCTAAACATGGCGGATTTTCGGCCTCATTAGACGGAGACGGAGATATTTACGTATATTCATGTTTCATTTTATGTACGCACTGAAATACTGTTATATTGTTTTCCTGCGAGTTAAAGTGCTGAGTAAGAACGAGATAGATATATGTTTATGTATGTGCCTTCAAAATGGGTGCTATTTATATAAGCAATTGTACGTATAGAACAATATGTCGTGTCCCTACTATATAGGTCTATGGTTTTTATGCATTATGGAAGTTAGTATGCGATTATATTGACGTTACTTAGTGGAAACGTACGTGTATACCCAATTATAATTCAAGAGATATTTAGAGATATTTAATCTATCGCAGGTTAAATTTTACTCTAAAATAAGTTTCAATTGTGTATCATCTAAATTTGGCTCTTTTGGTTGACAAGATTGCCGACCACTGGCTTAGATTGTTGATTGAATAGTTTCAGTTTGAGAAGCTGGGCTTAAGCACTGCTTCACCGCAGTATTAGTAAGGGTGGGGGTAGCTTTTCGTGGGGGCTTACAAGACGCTCCGTCAACAGTAAATTAGGCGCAACTCTGACTCACTCTCCTCGTGGTGTCTGCATCGGAACATCCTCATGTGACATACGGATAGAAATGTCCTGTATATCCCATGTCCGCATTCAGCACACACCATCACGTCCAGAGCGGGACAAGACGAGGGGCACAATGCGTCGTATTCCTTGTAATCGACTGTAAATAAAATATAAAATCGAGGGGTGAAAGACGATATTGGGTTTGAACGACATTTCGCTCAATACGCGACATTTACCTACTTTGTAATTAAAGGTCCTATTTATTTGTTATTAGCATCAACCTAACTACGTCTACCGAGTAATATCACCCGCTCGGTGGAATATCTTCCCTCCGTTGTTAAACTTTCCAAACCTATGTCATTGCATTTTATAATATGGCAATTAGCTCCCTCCGATGGAGAGTAAAGTTAAAGATTACTATTATAAATGGGGGACGAGTTGAAAGAAAGCTTTCTATAGCTATAATCAGAAAATAACAATTTAAAATACCACTAAAGAGTGCAAGTGTAGCAAATTGTTTGACGTAAATGTAACCGGATTGTTTTATTGTAATAGCTTTAGGCGCCATTTTTGTCATCAAAGGAGACAAGTTGAACACCCTCATGCAAACCTAGCGCCCTCTAGTGTTGTCATAATGGAACAGGTACAAATATAAAGCACTAATTTTATCATTGTTTCGTTTTCGAAATTAAGTTTTGCTGTGCGTCTATTAAAATGAAGTTAATTTTAAATGTAGCATATTTACCGTCAGCTTTTTCAGCTTCTTCACCGTCAGCTTCGTCAGCTTCTTCTTCGTCAGCTCCTTCTTTGTCTCTTCTCCTATTTTTTGTATCTGAAAACAACAAAGGAAGGATAAGTCCGCTCTAGCTTATTAGTAAGTTAGTACCGGCCGCTAGAGACATCAAGATCCATCAGTACCGCCATCTATCATGAAAAACAAAGTCGACGTCTATTAAAACGTCTGTCCCTTTAAGCTGGACCGCGTGCCTGCTTTACGGCAGAATCACCCAGGATTGCGGGGTAATCGTGAGGGCTTAATAATGGACTTCAGCACTGCCAGGGGTAGAGCCAAGGGGCTGCCTGCCGGTAAGTACTCTTCATAAGTCTTGTTTGAAGAAGGACATGTCATAGCGCTCGGGAAACACCGTGGAGGGGAGC